AATTTATTACCGGCTTCTGACGTCAGCTCGTAATAATATTTGCTTAATATAAAAGTTATGTAGTTTGCACATACAAAACAAGCTGCATCCGTAGTAGGGATTACATGAAAGAATAATATAGAGCTTTCAGAAATAAGTTTAGAAGCCTAATGTAAAAAGTATTTAGTTTTAATTATTTAGTATAGATGTGTGTGTGCGGGTTCTATATACGTGAGTAAGACGCAGCTGTAGATTAATTGCTGGACATCGAGATAGATAGAGCTGCAATCTGCTGACTTGACAAAGCCAGACAATCGTACTATCTTTGTCTCTGAGAGCTATATATATGTACGCATAAATAATATTTCGCTTTTGTATTTTCTATTTCTCACTGATACATTCATTGTTTTTTTCTGACTGCTCGCTCACTACGTATCGTTCAGCTTTATTCTCCACGCATATTCGCTTACATATTTACTCGCGCTTCTCTTTCTCTGTCTGTCTGTCTCTCTGTCTCTCTCTCTCTCTCTCTCTCTCTCTCTCTCTCTTTTCTAAGGTACGCCATTCTGTGGCTTAGTACCTAGATTTCTACGAGACCGATCGTACGCAAAGGATGTAGCAAGATGTTGGAAAATGGTGGGGCAGCCAATCGTCTACATTATTCTTTAAAAGCAAAAGCTGATTGGCCAGCGAGAAAAAACCGTGTAATTTTCCCCTGTTGCTACATCTTTTATGTAGATGACTTTAGTGTGTTCAAAGTATTCACTTCAGTCACAAAAGTTTTATCATAACCTTAAATTTCCAAAATAATTCTGAATAGTATCGAATAATTCAACACATATTAACATTATACATAAAAGTGCATAAAACATTAAAATAAATACACTAATACGACGATTTTTATCACGACGATTATAATTCGTCGTGATAAAAAAATCACGATAAATAATTTTAAGACCTCGTGTATAGTCATTTCGGTGAATCAGTCTTATAAAATAATTGTAACTAGTTCACAAAAAACTTTTTAAGAAAAAATCTTTAAATAATGTTTAAAAAATATGTTTAACATCAAGGAAAAACAATAAGATCAACGCTAAGATCAACAATTATAGTGTTTAAATAATTTGCCACGTGAGTATTAAAATGTGTCGAATTTCAGCTGTGAAAGAGAGAGGGAGAGAGAGAAAAAGGAAAGAAAGAGAGAAAGAGCACATGATGCCGAGTCGCATCCGTTAATTCTTGTTTCGCTATTCAAATGTGTGTTGTGTTTGAGTGTGTAAGACACGCGTTTTTTTTAACCGAGTATCCATATGATTCGTGTGTGATTCGACTTAATAAACGACGGAATAAAACAAAATAGAGTGCACTCGTGATAACAAAGATAGATATACTCTGAAATCTTTTCAGCTAATTTATCGGAGTACAACAAAATAAAATCGAAATTATCGCCTCGTGTTCGTACGGTACTTTAACGTTTCAAAGCGTCCATGTTCTCGTGTTTTCTTTCACAAGCAACTACTGATTCATGTTAATGCATGCTGGAACAAATGCTACGTGGCGCCGGTTCGTCGAAAGAAACATCCGACAAATCAATGAAGATCTTTCTGTCTTTTTTCTTGAATAATATGCTATTTACGTTATGCGTTCGCTACAGCATGTCTCAAAACCGGTTCGGCAAAACTGACACTGGATTTTTTTCTTAATGGAAAAAGGTATTATGATCGATCACTATGATTGCTTTATTAATCGAGATTACAAATTCATGACAAGTCTTAACAAAGTTTTTTTTCCAATTTGTAAGATAATAGGTCTGCTCCTTTTACCTGCTTCAAGTTACACGCTGTGCGAACAATATAAGTATATATTCCGATATTGGAGAAAAAGGAGGAAAATTCTCAGAAAGCACAGAAAGTGCAACTAACAACAAATGTAATAATGCTCGCGAGACAAAAGCCGGTTGCGTTATGATGAAAAAGGTTAAATAAGCGTAGTAGTGATTTAGTGTCTTTTTTCGAATGTATCTTAAGTTGTGTTGAGGAAAAGAAAAGTTTTTCTAATTTTATTTTGTTTTAGATTTTATAAACATAATTATTTGCAGTTATATTTTCGAGATATGCCCTTTGTTATGTCATTCGCTTTTAAGAAAAAGGCGAATTTATTCGAAATTTTCGACTTCCAGAAAAGTCATCGACGACACATGATTCCGAAAAAATTTCTATCGACGCCATTTCTTACAATTCGTCTCTGTTAGACGCATCATCCGAATACATTGCTCGGCGTCGCGAAATGAACATGGATCGTGATCGAAGAGCACTCACCGTATCGACGATCGTGGTTGATTTGGAGCAGTAAGCGACCTTCCTCGGTCACGGTCGAAGTCCAGCTCATCTTGTCCGGATGAACACGTGCAGATAGGCTGTCGGTCGGCACTTTTTCCATTTAGGCTCCAAACTAAAATGATCTCTCACAGCCGATCACACGCGACTCGCAGCCATGTGTACACGCGACGCGGGAAGCGGCAGTACTGCCAACTTGATAATTATTTTAGTTCTAAAGGCACACATCGTAACATGCACTGCTGTGAACCGCTCCGTTTGACAATGTCGCCCTACAGCAAATTTTGATTTATCTATAACAGAAAAATGTCACACGTTTTAATTTTTTTAATTCATCATTTAATTTATCGCAGAAAACTTTAAAATCCGGAATATATTCCACAAAAATGTCGCTTAGTGAATTAATAATAGTTATTGGAGTTATAATTGGCTATGTAAACACTTTATAAAAATTTTAAATGCTTTATTTTTTCTTTATTATTAAATCTATTTTTTTTTTTAGTGGTTTTGTTTTGATGTGTCTTTTGCTTGTTTTTCAGTCACACCGCTCCAATTTATTTTAGAATAATAATTTTCAATTTCCGAGAACCATTGCTCCGAATATATGTGTCATGTTATTTATCAGAAAGGCAAGCGAGAGTAATTCAATAATTAATATACCATTCACTCATGTCAGTTTCCCGACATCTTCGTGTTAAAATTACAGTTTCCCTTTCTCGCGGGAAATTCGTCTATGACATTAACATGATATCCTGAACATTTTAGAGTACCGAGAATAGCCAATGGCCTTTACCCCAAAATAAGATATTCGGTAAATTAATGTGAAACCGGAAGCATGAAAGTGGATACAGAGTATTGGCGTTGGACACTTTACTCGCCGCTTCAAATGAAATTAGTGCACGGTCGCGGTAACATTTAAGGTTTTCACCGATACACTTATTGCGTTAACCGGCACGCGTAACAGCTCAGAAAATAAAGGAAAAAGACACGAAAGGTAGCTGAGGGCCACTTTTTCCAACGTCGGTTAACTTTAACCGAAGGTTCCAACTTGTCGATAAAATTGCCAATATGAATGAAATATTGTCATTAAAAAAGAAAAAGATTTTAAATTTTTGTTACCTTTAATGGTGATATTTTATTCTTCATGTTAGCAATTCTATTAACAAATTGAAACCGTCAGTTAACGTTAATCGACGTTGGAAAAAGTGAGAATCGCAGAGATATGGAAAAAACATTACTTAAACAAATTTAAATGACTTTATCATTTCAATAAATGGACGACTCTTTAATTTAAAGAATTCTAATAATTCAAGCCTTAAAAAAGAAATTGGAAAAAATGCAAATACAAAAAGTTATTTTTTTTAAGATGTAAGAAAGACTAGTTTGAGAACATAAAAACTTTAATAGAGCTGTAAGAAATTTGAAATATTATTTTAAAACCAATAAAAAAATACATTGTGCTTGTTTAAAAAGTTTTTCCAACGTGTAGCAGTTATATCTTTTTCAATATACTTTTAAATTCGATTGTACTTGATTGTTTATATTTATAAACAATATATGTTTATATGTATACATATCGATATGACTATACTGTACAGACTTCTCGGCGTTCTGTCTTACATTATTTGTCATGTGATGTTTATCGTGTAATAGAATATTTTATATACATATGTATATATAAATTATCGATATAAATAATAATATAATTATTAATATTTAAAATTTAACATACGTGACTACTTTTAATATTAACGAGAATAAAAACAGTAATTATTGTTTACATTTGCAGGTAGCCACATTCTGCTCGAGAAATTACGAAAGTATAAGCCAAAAATTGCCGTGTTCAACGGCAAATTAATATACGAAGTGTTCTCGGGGAAGAAGGAGTTCGGATTCGGGAGACAGCCAAACCTGGTGGACGGCACAAATACGGTAAAACAACCTAGCTACATTATTCCTCACTTTTTATATTTTGAATAACGTAAAAGTAGAAGAATTGCTCGAAAAAGAAGACGTGTAAAGAAATTCTAAGGAATTGGAATATCTTTTTCGCATCTTTATGACATTTGCTTCTTGTGTTATTCGGAATATCGAAATCGATATAGTTTTAAATACAATGGGTTCAATATTTATACAATATTATTATCAATAAATGTAGAAATGATTTCATGTGAAAATTTTTACAACTCGATATTATATTGCAGTACATGTGGGTGATGCCTTCAAGCAGTGCGAGGTGTGCCCAGCTGCCACGGGCTGCCGACAAGGTGCCATATTATGCGGCCCTGAAGAAGTTCCGCGATTATTTGAACGGTACGATCCCGCATCTGGACGAGTCGGATATCGTATTCGCCGACTCGAAGCTCAAGAAGAAGGACCACGAGGCGATCGAGGATAAGAAGCCTGTATTCGTCGATGATCTGCCCGACGGGGAGAATCGAATCACGGAGATCAACGGCACGGGACTAAAGCAGGACTCGGGCTTGATACCCGGCAAGAAGAAACGCGGCAGACCGAAGAAGATCAAGAATCCGGAGGATCAGCCGCCGCCGGATCCCGAAAAGCTGGATGCAAACGGCGAGGTCATCAAGAAGCGTCGCGGACGCCCGAAGAAGATACATCAACAGCAGAAGCAGCTGGAGCGCGAGAGCCGCGAGAGGGAACAGCAACAGCAGCAGCAGCACCAAGCGATGGGCCACCTGAACGATGGCTACGGTAACGTGTCCAACTGCTTCTCGCCGCCGTTGATGTCACCTCCAAAAACGTTCCCGCATATGGCGCCGTATCCGCAGCCGCCGATGAACGATTCCGGCTACTACGGCCCCATGAATGACAACAGTCCGTACAATATGAGCGCGAAGCAGAGCCCGGTGCATCTTCAGCATTACAGCCAAAGCCCGAAATCAATGTCGCTCTCGTTCACGCATTCGGATCTCTCATCGGAGATCAACACCGCGATCTCGTCGGAGAACAATTTGGAGCCGTCGCCGCTGACGTCGCCCAGCGTCGAGCATCCGGACTTCGAGCCGCCCACCAGCATGTCGCAGCAGAGTATGGGCAACGACCATCGCCAATACAATCCGGCCGGCGGGCCCGATCCCGCCGCCGGTCATCACGGCAGCCCCGGCACGCCGTCGCACAACAGCTACGCCAGCTACATGGGCTACCATGAGCAGACGGCGGACGCGCACAATCAGCATCCGCATCAGACGACGCCGACGCCGCTCAGCCAGACCGCCGACGAGCACTCCCATCATTCACATCCGACGCCGCCGCATCCGCACACGCCCACGCACACGTCGATGTCGCCGCACCATCCACACGAGCAGTACGGCATCAAGCGAACGTCCGGCCAGGACGTGGCGTCCAAGAGCCTGAGCGATCTGGAATCTCTGGTGGACCAGATCCCGAGCATAGCCGACGGAGGTAGCCAGCGTCTGCAGCACACGCATCCGGGCATGCCGGGTGACGACAGTCTGGCGGAAAAAATGGAAGCCCACCATCAGTCCTACATGTCCGGTTTCGGCGGCATGCCGACCGGACCCGGCGGGATGACCAATTACAGTCCGCCGTTACCGCCGGGCGGAGGAATCTATCCCAGTTCCCTGCATCACTCGCCCAGCGACGCCAATTACGGCGGTCTGTACGCTATGAACGGCCGTCATCATCAGGAATCCAGCAGCAGCAGCAGCAGCAGCAACAGCAGCAGCAGCAGCAGCAACAGCAGCAGCAGCAACAGCAGCAGCAGCAGCAGCACAGCAAGTCCTACACGGTGGAAAACCTCGCGTCCAGCAATTACACGCCCAGCATGAACCACGGCCACCCCGGCAACTCGTACCCGAATATCATACCCGGGCCGCACTACCCGGTGCCGATGGGCTCGACCAACGGCTACCTGCTCAGCGGCCTCGAGTCCAGCCTGATGCAGCGCACGTACGGGATCAGCGGTATGAGCGGCATGGGCGGCATGCACCCGTCGGCCGCCTTGGGCCACCCGATGGCCGCGAACCCGTACCCGTACAACGGCTCGTACTCGAGCTCGTTCGACGCTTACCCGGCGCCACCACCAGCGGGTATACACGCGCCCAGCGCCAATTATCCCGGCTACGTCAGCACGGCGGGCGCGGCGCCCACCACCACCACGCCGCCGTCCTACCTCGCACCGTCGCACCACAGACCACCGGTCGATCTCTCCTACGACGGTGTATGATAATCGATGCGAAACAATCACGCCGTTCCTCACGACCATCCTCCTACGCCAGCCTCCTCTCCCTGCCGATCGCCTCCTGTGCGCGCGCGCGCGCGAGCGACCGCAACGTTTATCTTTTCTACGTATTTTTACACACGTCTCTTAAGGCTCTCGATGTCGGGAGCACTGTCGCGCGTCGTCTCCCCGAATCGTCGTATCACTCCCATGAACTGTCTACGCTACTTTGCGCGCGCTCTTTCACTCTCCGTCGACTTTTGTTTATTGTTTATCAGCGTTTCGTTTATCCTATTATCTTTTGTTGTGCTCGGTTCGACATAAAAATTATCTCACAACTGACGCAAAAGAAATGACGGTGAAATTTCCCCGCAAAATTTGAAAGCCAATTTTTTTATTCCAAGCATCGAAGCTCTAATAAGACAATGAACTACTTCTGTCAATCATTGCGCACATTATGATATGTAGGCACGATGATTTGGAAATAGAATATGAAATTTAATTGCCAAGTTATTGGATATTGAAATTTGACTCAGATTCTGATGATCTCCTCTGAAAGGCACAAAACTGTCTATACATTTTGTATCAATTCTGGGACACCCTGCCGGTCTTATGTTTCCATATCCCTCACTGCATCCCGCTTCTACATCGTCACCGCGTCTCTCGCGCTCTTTTTTCATTTTTATCTCGCTCTCGATATGCGATTACGCCGTGAGTAATTACGGGCGCGCGGCTCGGGAACGGGAAACCGCTCATGAAACGCGACCATGACGCACGCAACGAATGAGAAACGTATAAGCCACCGCTAGATTAGCTTCGCCGATCGCGTTCTGCACCGATCCGACCGTTAAAATACACACACGCGGGCATACTGCACACTGATAACCGTGACGATAAATGGCGACCTTAACGCCGAGCAAATCGCGATTACGAATTCGGCCGACGTAGCCGAGGTCATCCAGCCGTGTAATTGCGCTGTCCCATTTTTCCCTATCGATCAGCTGACATCGATCATCGCCGATTGCTACAGGCGTACCTACGAGCTTTACCACCGAAACCGAATTTCCGACATTTATGTGCTTCGAAGGACATATCCAATTGCAAATGGTACAAAAAGCAACGAGTGCATAGATATCGCGCGTTCTGAACCAATTTGTAATTGTAACGTCACCTTCGACAAAGCCGATAAGAAGCAGCACACAGAATTCCCCCCTGTGGAATAAAACAATCTGAAAAAAGTTTCGGGTATGAAAACGGACATGATTTCGAAGAGTTCAAATTTCGATGCCATAAATGCGAAATGATCTCCGTGTTTCTTGATTGATTGATTGATTAAACATTTATATAGGACACGGAGTGCACGATATAAGCATCAATCAAATTTATTGATTGGCGATGACAAAATTATTTTCATTATTTATTCATCATTTATTGATATCAATTGATAGAAAACAATTGATAAAAATGCGATAAATAATGCTAAATAATCTTTCCGCATTTATAGCATTCGCAGAAGCACACAACTCACCGAAATTATACCGATTTCTTTCCTGCAAGGAAAACACCACATTATATACGAATGAAATGACAGCACCGTTCACTTACATGCCTGTATGTTTGTGTATCGCACTGCGATTTATAATTATTGTTGGTTTGTATTGTTGTTATTACTGTATTACTATTTGATTAATTAAACGCGCTAGCCGTGACACGTTTTTTTATATTGTCGGAATAATCGTCTCGATATCTTTCGCCAATTCAATCTAACGTGATAACGCGCGTAATATTACTTTTTAAAAGAAATATTCGTCAAATCTTTCAACTATTGAATTCTTAATGTCGAAAGAACCGAAAATTTCTGACAAATTAGTTAATTTAGTTAAATTTTTATCTTTTATAACTTACATATAATATTAGAGGTAAGGAGAAATTGTGACAAAGATTCCGCAATATTTGTCACTTTTTGTTGGTTGATTTTTCAACTTCTCTTCAAGACGTTAATTATACAAATTATTTTGAATGAACTAATAAGTATCTTAAATGAGTGGTATCACATGGAAAAGACAGATATGTATCCTCGGATACAATGCATCTGAATACACGACACAACAATATTGAATCACGTCTTTGTTGATGTAGTACGAAGCAACAGTCTCACTTGATGAGCAATCATTCTCACTTGGATCGCGTACTGAACCGAGCTTAATCGAGCTAAAAGTTTCGCACTCGCGAAGTACTTTGTGAATAAGTTTCGTTCAGTTGTGTGTGCCGTAATGAGATATTATTGCCGACACAATTAATCCAAATATGTAGAAGCGATATAGGAAATACGTGGAAAATCATGGACAACCGAATCGTGAATTAGCCCGAGAGTAAAATTACGTGTTTACATGTACTCTCGCGTTTCTACGAATCCGTGTACGTCATGTAGCGGTGACATAAGCCAAGAACGCGATCACCGATCAATTGCCTATATATTATTGTGCTCGAAGTAACATCGGTTATCTTTAACGCGAGAATCTGCATTTGCGTTGACTTTTTATCCGAGCGATCGGATGTTTTTATTCCGCCGAATAAAACATACCCTACTTGGTTATTTCGTTTCATTTTGTTTCTTGCCGCATGTTAGTGTTCTAATTTAAATATTCTTTTATCCGAAAACTCTTATTGAATAATCATTTCAATGAAAATCGCATTTCCTTATCGCTGGTGGAAAATGAATTGTAGAAAATATCATCAAACTGCGAGTCGTGCGCCGTTATTGCGCTCGCCGCTTTTATGAGTTTTCGTGAGCTTTTTTAACAGAGTAAATATTAATCGTTATCGTCATTGTATCGTTAAGATTACTGCACATAGTAAGAGGAAAGCTTAAGCCCGGTTGCGCTGGTATTTTTTTAATTGTGGTATAGTCGCTTTCATCAATATTGATCAAATTTAGCCGTCGTTTAATCTTTATCTGGACAAGTTTCCAAACGCATTTTTGAAAAAAGTATTTACGTTATATATTAATGAAAATATCTTGTGACAAAAAGTATATTAATTTCTTTTTAAAATAGATATAATTATATATGTATATATAACTATATGAACATTCTACACAAAAAACTGATTTGTATATATTATTTATTTAGCAATGCTAATTCAAATGTGTATTAATTTTTCAAAATCTTTAAATAATTGTATAGCTCTTCGTATTAAAATTCAAAGGAGACAAAGAATCGATTAAAGTAAGGTTAATATTAATCAATGTTAATAGAACTGGCTCTGTAATGCGGGACAAAAGCCGCCAATAATCGACCAAATTATCATTCAAAATGTAGAAATCTAAGTAAGATCGCCTGCGCAACTGGATGCCGAGCTTGTTTAATGTAAGATGTAAGTCCTAACGAGAGGCAGATAGAAGGAAGAGACTACTGCTCTTAACTCTTTGTTTATCACACCGCCATCCACTTTCGTACCTCGCGCCCGCAACAGCCGTCGCCGTTCTCGTTGCAACTCTGATTATTATTTATCGTTAGAACTCGATATCGCTGTGGAGTTACATACGTTACTGTCGTTATTAACATAGTCGCGTTACGTTGTCTCGTTAATTATATTCTGTTATGCGTTTCGCATTGCCGAAAGTCACTATATATTAATACACGATTATGAAAAAAAAAAAACAGATAGACATGCATATGTACACACACCCCCCCACACACACACACACACATAAGTACACACAACCACACACCCATACACACATCTATACATTCTATCTACATGTACACGCAGTCGTATTAGATATTATAACTGGCATTAATCGACATTCTCCTTTGTCGCTGACCGACGCTGTAAAGTGACGCATCTGACATGATTATAAATATACAGATATAAATATATAAATATATAAATATATATAGATATTATAAATAAACTATAAATATTATATATTGACTATATGGATAAGGATTAAGCGAGCAACATTTATCTCGGGTAAAAACCACCTAGGATGTGTCGAGACATTTAAGATGATGCACAGGGTATAGATGAGAATCGTTGATATAATAACTGATGTCTATATTATTATAGATGTTTCTTTCGTTCCGTCATCGGCCTCAAACACACATACACAAACACACGCGAGTACACGCGATCGAAGTTATGTAGTAGATGTTTTTCAAGGAATCTAATCCGACTCCGGGCGGCGGCCAAGAATAATAGATGTCATCGGTGTGTTAGTCGCGCAACCAACGTTTTCATCGATTCGCAATGAAAAAAGAAGGATTTTATATATATATATATACATATATATATATGTATATATATGTGTATATATATATATATATATATAATCCCGTGCCGGTCGATGCGACCGGCGAATCCGCCATCGCACTACTAATTAATTGACTCTTCGATTAATCAAATCAACTAACTGATTGTAAATTGATCGCTATTAAGGAACTTTACTATTAAGTATAAATATATATTATACAGATATAAAAGTGGATTTTCGCTGTTGAACGTGTCGAATAAACAAAGAAAAAAAAAAGAAAGAACAAAAATCCAAGAGTAAGTAAGCGAGTAAGAGAGCTTGGGCCGGATCGCCGGCCTCCGACATATTTTTTAATCGCTTCGAACCTCTATTATTCTACCTACTAATTAAACGTAATGGTGTATCTACGTGTGCGCCTGAGCGATCGGCCGGTCCGCGTCGTCGGCGTCGCACGACCGCCGGTCGTCGCCGTGTCGTCGATCGGATCGCGATCGCTCGGGCTATCGAGATGTGTTCTGTATCGAATTAACGAATGTACTTCTCGAATATTCATCGCTCCTACGAATATCGCGGGATAGGGAAGGGTGACGGATGCTCGACACCATACTTTGAAAATTTTTCTGCTCCTTGCCGCCCGAATCCTAAATGAAGCCCACGCAGATCTCCAATGGACGTTGTATTGGGTGCTCAGTGGATACCCGAGTATCCCGCAATATGTAAATCTCTGTATGTCTCTGCCCGTATTACCGCTACGATATTTTATGTGAAAATGAATTGTTACAAATACATTACTGATATAACACCGAAATGATAGTATTCTTTACCCAAAAGAAAAAGATTTCTGGTAAATGATAAGATATAAATGATATAATACTCAACGCGATCATCGAAAGCTATACGTGTTTGTGGCCTCTATCCCTTGGTGTGACACCGTACGATCTTTATGTAACAATTTGTTATACGAAGAAGCGTAATGGTGATATTAATAACGCTGCGGGATATTCGGAGATTCTGAGAAATACCTAATTGACGCTCAATAAACATCTGCGTGTAGATTGATTTTTCGAGACAAAGAAACAAATCTTTCGCACTTAAGGAAAATTGCACGCACGTGTGTGTGTGTGTGTACGATCGACGTACGAAAACGAAAATAGACGGACGGATCATTCGACGAAAGGAAAAGGAAAGTGCCGCGAACCGTCAAAAATCTCTCTTGTCCGAATCGTATGCACCGTCGCGCGAAAAATCCGACATCCTCGCCCGCCGTTTTCCGCTAACGAGGCTAACGTTTTAACAAGTTAATCCTTTAAGCTATCGCTATCGAGTCGACTAAGTAAGGGTACGAAGTCACTGTGCGTTTAATCAATTATTAAAGAATCACTAAACGTAGTTGGACTCCTAAACTGTTGGACGTACGATGTGTGTTGTGTTTTAAAGAAAAATCATAAAAAAATTAAAATATAACGATTACTTTGCATACGAGGGCGAGGCCGGTATGATAATTGTTTCGAATCGTGGCAAAACTGGACTGGCAATTCAAGAGATCGATTGAATCTTTCTCCTTACACCACGAACGAATTCATGATTCACGAATCCAGCAATCAACGAAATTCGCGAGCCAAAAGAAACAACGATCATCCGGAAGCGCATCGGCGCGCTCTTTGCGATCGCGTCTGAATCGATTGGCTGTTAAATTCTTATAGAAATTGTGGAAATTAGATGTCAAATGAACGAAATTAGAATAGTCTCAATATATTCTTTCTGTGAAAAGCTGAACGATTTTGTCCGTTTATTAATATTAATAAACGTAATTAGCGCGCGAAATTAAGGAATTCGAGAGCATCAACGTCATTGTTATAGCGATTTTGCAAATAAAAGATAAATGTGTCTAAAGATTTGTGTTAAAAAGCATATTCAATTTTCGCCGTAGGAGAAAATCGAGTGAAAGGAAAATCGCATGAAAAGCATTCTCTATCACGTCCTCGTATTGCGCTTTAAAAAGGAAAAATGAAAAAAGGAAAGAAGAATCGGGTAACGCGAGATTATAAACAACCATAGTTACGAATCGCTGCGACAAGGGTCTGTGTGTTTTTTCTATGAGCCAATTTTCGCTATTGTTGTTTCGCGTGCCCCGCCACTAATAATTCCTCCATTGTCGCTGTGAAGGGAAAAAAAGGACAAACGAAAGGAACCAATTGCGATACATTATCGAGAGAAGATTCAGATTAAAGTCACGCAAACGAAAAACTATTGTAGCTAGATGAAAAGAACGAAATGAGTCACCTGCTCGTGTGCCGAGCCGCAAAATGACGAACAGAACGAATAAAATCGCATCTTTCGTGCAAAATCCCTCTTGTTTAAATTTTAAATATTAAACGAATCTTATGGAGACAGACTTTTCTCTTTCTCTGGACTCATCTTACCTGAGTCATTGGCAGTTTGTGTACAAAAAAAAAAAAAAAATAAATAAATTGATTCGTTAAAATAAGCGAGATGCGTTTGTTATTCTACCTTCCGCCCCTCTAACTCTTCCTTCTTTCCTAATTCTGACTTTCGAGATTATGAATTTTGACGTTAGTTTGGAATTTTTGTATTTTCCAATTTTATTCGAAATGTTTCGAACATAGCCTAAATTTTTTATTACTATTTCCGTCATACATTTTTAATTGACTATTATTAAAATATAAAATTATTTTAATTAAGAATTGTTTGATTACTTACTGGAGCAAATGTAGACGTTGAAAAATTGAAGAGATTGATTTCTTGCGATAAGAAATTCTTCTTATAATTAATAATAATTTTAAAATATATTTTTTTTACGGAGAAAGAAAGAGAATGACTAGCAAAAATTGATATATTGGAGGGAAAATCGCGCGAGTAGCGTCATCTCTTGAGAATGCTATGAAATAGGAAGTATGAACTTCAATTAGAATGCGTCATATAAGACGGTTCTTAACCTGTATTTAGAAGACCACACGTAAAAGTGTCGGTTTATTATATCGAGTTTGTCTAGTTAATTAAAAATGCCGCTGGAGAATTTGGAAGAGGAAGGCTTGGAGAAGAATCCGAATCTGTTGTTAGCACAGACTAAATTCCTGCTAAGTCTTCCAGAGCACAAAGATGATCCCAATCTCAAGACAAAACTTTTGGATGCCATCAAAGCTGAAAGTGAGATTGCATTTTTGGTCTTGATTATATATTATATTATTTATCAAGATATAATTTAAATTAAGGACATTATTTTATAAAAAAAAATAAATCTTACAATTTTATTTATCTTGGTCACACAATATGTTATCTGTTGTTATAATCTTTCCGTTAACTGCTATTCATTATTTTATTTAATAATTATTAGTTTCTATTGTATATGTCTTGTGCGAAAATTAAAATAAATCTAACAATGATATGTTTTACAGATATGGCTCCATTTTACGAAGAAGTGTGCAAAGATCTGGATTGGCCAGTAGAGGAAACCCTTCTTTCAACAATGAAAACACACAATACAGAACAATTAAAAAAACTTGATGATGCTATCGAGGATGCTGAGAAAAATCTAAGCGAGATGGAAGTTCGTGAAGCTAACTTAAAAAAATCAGAATATCTGTGTCGAATAGGCAATAAAGAGGATGCAATCTCGTCATTTAGGAAAACTTATGACAAGACAGTATCATTAGGGCACAGACTAGATATTGTGTTCCATAACATAAGAATTGGTTTGTTCTACTTGGACCATGATCATATTACCAGAAATATTGAGAAAGCTAAAAGGTCAAACAATATCTTATGGCAATTATTATGCTTATAATAATAATATATATGTGGAATATTATTTAATTATTGTTTTCTCTTTACAGCTTGATAGAAGAAGGCGGAGATTGGGATAGACGAAATCGTTTAAAAGTCTATCAAGGAATGTACTGCATCGCAGTTCGCAACTTTAAAGAAGCTGCAAACTTTTTTTTGGATACAATTAGCACGTTTACAAGCTATGAACTCATGGATTATAATACGTTTGTGAGATATACAGTATACTTGAGCATGATAAGTCTCCCGCGAAATGAGCTGAGAGACAAAATTATTAAGGGTTCTGAGATATTGGAGGTCCTTCATAGTAATATAGATGTCAAGGATTACTTGTTTTCATTGTATAATTGTCATTATGCAGATTTCTTCAAGAATCTTGGTAAATTGGTTACTAAAGATTAAATATTGCTTTCAGACATTTAAGAAATTTAATCGTTATCAAAATATTATTTCAGCACACGTTGAAGGATTGCTACGGCAAGATTACTTAGTATTTCCGCATTATCGATATTATGTTCGGGAGATGCGAATCCTCGCGTATACACAGCTGTTAGAATCCTACCGGTCTTTAACCTTGCAGTATATGGCTGAAGCATTTGGAGTTACAGTGGAATACATTGATCAGTGAGTAATATATTGTCACTGAATTTTTTTCTAATTTTGACACTTGTAAATTTAATATCATATTTTATAAAATAGTTAATTTTTTTGTCTTACAATATTTTATGAGGCCAATGTTTAACTTAAATTATGAAACTGTATTGTTTCTAGAAAAATTTGTTATATTTAAATCGTTTGCTCATTATTTCACAGGGAATTATCGCGCTTTATAGCAGCAGGTCGATTACATTGCAAAGTCGATCGAGTCGGAGGTGTGGTCGAAACAAATCGGCCAGACAGCAAAAATTGGCAATATCAAGCGATGGTGAAACAAGGGGATTTACTGCTTAACAGGGTGCAGAAATTATCGCGCGTTATTAACATTTAATTTTTTATATTATCATCGCACAGAGAATATATGTTATTGACTTAAAACGACTACTCAAGATCAACAATTTGAATGTTTGCTGCATATCTGCTTTAAAGAGCTTGTATGTCTCGTTTTAATGAAAATTTTGTAACGATGAAAGCTGAAAGTCTCATGTTTGATTTTGTAAACAAAATACATATACGATTTTCCTCTAATGTGTAATGTAATTTATTTATTACATCGCACATCATCAACACTAATGCCGGCTTGAAATCAAGAACTACTCATCAAACATTTAGAAAAATTTAAATAATATAGTTAGCCTTTGTGTAAGAGTAAAGAAATTTAAACGTTCTTATATAAAATAAATAAATAATTATCATAATGGTTCTTGGAAAATTCGACTGGTAAGTATCTTTCTAATGGACAAGAAATGTTCAATAACAAAGTTTTTAACGCAATACGTTTTGCTGTAAATAATAATCACATTGAAAAATGCGTGTTGTAATGACATGTTACTTATTTTTTATATTTTATTTTTAAGAGAATATCTATGCCAACAATTAAGCAGGCAAGCATTTGTTAAAATAATAAATAAGAAAACATAAAAGTAAAACTTTGCTGTGTTTGATACATCATTTTGATCAGATGTATGTCGTCAAAATATAAGTTAATATATGTATAATTGTTAAAAAATTATAAAAAATTATGATTAAATTTTTATTAAAATCAAGAGAAATGTTATTGATTTTTCAATCAATTGCATATTGTCTATTTTATATATTTTCAAAAATTATCAAAAAAATTAAGTAAAATGCAGATCAAAGTGTGAAACTACAATTAGTAATAAGAACAAATTTTTATAGACGTCTATGTAAAGTGTAGACAAAGATTCTACTCAATTCTACAGTTTGCACAGATTTTTCAAATCATTGCTGATTAATTAAAAATATTACAAAAAGTAAAAAGATCTCTAAATACAGCTCTTATTATAAAAGACTCATGTTCATAAAAAAAATCATAATCAATATCTTTTTGTAATAAAATTGAGTTTCAACGTTTAAGATACGTGTCTTTTTCTATACTTTTAACATTAAACTCAATATAAATTGTCCTGGAAATTATATTAGCTATGAAAAATTTCTGATAAAGCACATAATTAAAATAAAAACTTAAAACGGTGTAATAATAATATTATCCTATGTGAAAATATGTCATCCAAAGTGATAATATGTTTCCCAATTACAAATTTATTTAATATGAATATCAAAAATTCAATGTAAACTCAAACGACTTTTAAACCCGTTTCAAACATCGCGGGAAAGCGAGATAATTTTCCGTCCGATAAAATTCCTCTTTCCACTTCGATTAGAAATCGAAGAGTTTCGATATCGCCACCTGCTGGAACCACTTCTAAGAACAAAGTGTTTCCTGTGTCCACTTGATTCTACACAATTCGGTGATTTGTCAGCATTTATGTATGTTTGCGTACATAAATGCATAAATATTCAACATTGGTGACTTTTCACCGATATTTTCAGATAACATATACTGCTTTTGTAGTTACGCAGAGATCACGCAGTTCAATCAATCGGTCTCGACCGACAACGACCTGTGTCGTCAGCCTTGTATGACATTAGTGTCGCACTCGTCATCATCCAAAAATACCGGTCGACGGCAGAATAGTCGAGAGGAAGATCGGCGAATCCGTTAGAGCAAAATCGCACGTCATTGAGAAGGAACGATATCTTGAGATTACCGTTCCATCGAAATGGATACGACGAAGTTGGTCAAGAACGACATGGAGCTGCCTCCGTTGCGCAGTCTGGACGACTTCTTATTAGAATCCGCCCGCTTTCAAATACCAAATCTCAAAGACTTGGAGAAATGGGGTCACCGGGTGGTTAACAATCTTCTTTACTATCAGACAAATTATTTTTTCATGTCTGTCATTATCTTTCTCATCGTTGGGTGAGTGGACTCCTCAAGATTCAAATATCATCTTTGTATAGATGAGCAATTATATAAACATTATTTTACTGCAAGTAGATGTAACAGTTTTATTTACTTTATAGTTTCTAATTTTACTATGATAGTTTTAAATATCAGAGTTATCTTCTTAAATGTGGCTTTTCCATCAACAAGTCTGAGTTTAAATATCATTAAGTTGCGATATTTTTCTAATTGTTTTAAAGTTTTTCTGTAAATACTTTATATTATATTTTCTATACTTGTCTCCTATTTATTTTGTGCGTATAGATTGCTTCATCCTGTTAAAATGCTTGCTGGTATATTTGGAATGATGATAATCCTGGCTATGTTTGGTTATATGTCGATGGAGGGAAGCTCTGTACATTTGTTCAAAAAGCAATATCCTGTGGTTGGAGTGTTGATTATAATATGTGGTGGAATTTTCGTAACGTATTGTCTGGGATCTCTCTTAGTTTTCTTGCTGGGCATTTTATTACCTTTCTGTGGTAAGTGTGACGACTGATAATATTTTATATTATTGTATATTAATGAGTAATAGATATCGAATTAATTACTGTACTTTTCTATTAATATTTTGATTTCATTTTTAGTAACATTTGTGCATGCCTCGCTGAGATTAAGAAATATGAAAAACAAGCTTGTCAACAAAATTGAAGGCATTGGTTTGAAACGTACACCCATGGGTGTGCTTCTGGGCTCTCTCGGTATGGAAGAAGAATTCTTATCATAAATTTCTTTAGCTTTATGTTTTTGAGTCATTAAGATAAGTCCAGTGAAAATGCTTTGCAGTCTAACAACCTTGCTATATCATATACATAATACCATATAGATTTTCGTCCAATCCATATATTTATAAAGCTTTGACATCTATTTTTAAGTATGCTTTAGGCAAGCTTGAATACCAATAAATTTATTCGATATTATCACGCATTTTCTTATGGATATACTAGACAATATTAAACAATCAACAGATTTTCATGCTTAAACAATGATTTCAAGAATAAAATTGATAAATTGTTAACTGTAAAATCATATTTTTTTAACTAGTCATTAAAGGAAATCTACTATGTACATGTTATGTTTTTAAATGCTTATATAATGTTAATATTTAATGAATTTCTATATATTGCTGATTATAAAAGTAACAAACTCATTATTTATTGACACTCATTATTTAATATTTTTGAATAGCATTTTCTCTAATTAATATGAATTTATCCACTATGTATGTATGTATACATATATATATATATATATATATATATACATACATGTATACAATGTATATCTAGAGCATTATCTTTAAATATATTTATTACTAAAAATATAGAACTAAGAACTAAGAACATTTTGTAGTATAAGCAGTATATTTAATTTAAAAAAATATTATATTAATTCAGTAGAACATCATATTTGATGAGATTATTATTATATAATGTACTCAAATCTGTATATGAATAAAAATACTTAAATTATCTTTCTTATTTTTTAAAATAATATTAGTAGCATGTTTTATCCAGAATACACAACATTTCTCACATTATTCACAAAAGCATTTTAAGAGTGCATTTACTAACATACACGTATGATGTTTGAACATTTAACATTTTTTTAATTTTACTATCTGTTGAATTTATTTATTGAATTTATTGTGAATGGATTGGAAAATATATATTATGTATTTATTAATAATGTGCTACTTACACATTAGTTTTTAGCAAAGCTATATCGTTTATTTAATTTTATTGTATATAGTTTCTATTATTTTTGAATTATATCTAATATTCTGTTATTCCTTTCTTATTTCATTATGCAGAAGATGTGACTGGTATGACCTTGCGCGCACAGTCATCACTCATACAACCGCCTCACTAATATCCTGCTTTGCACAACAAGTTGTATATTAAATTGGTAAAAATTAATGTCAAGCATTAATATTTGACGCCATTGCTACCTTAATCAGATCATAGGGCTTCACACAGTACTATCATGGTGAGATAAGTCTTGTAATATTTTTGAAATATAAAATAGACATATATCTGTGATTAGGAAGAAGAAAAATCTATTCTGTGATCTCTAATCAGAGAATTACATTGTTTAATGAAATCAATGAATTACTTTATGTTAATAAATATTCAACAATCAAATTTATATTCTTATACTGAGAATTGTTTATAATTTTTTCTTACAATACTTATTTTAAAGCTGTTTTTAACGAGAATTATATTTTTTGAATGTTATATTATACAGTTTTAAAAATGTACCAAATATGTGTTATTCTGATTATGTGTTGAAGTAGATGCGTGATATCAATATTTAAGAATTAAAATGACTGACGCTACATCTGTCCAATGTGTATAAAACAATTTAAATTGTAATTTGTATATATATAAGTGTGCGTATGTATATTATAGTAATGTATATAAAACATATGGCAAATTGTTTTCACAAAACTTTGTTATATCATTTCTGTCCTGATTTTATATTTTAATATATTATTTATGTGTATATATAACATAATAATGTACTTATAAATTTAGAGCTCTTAATGTAACACTTATATTCTGTTACATATATAAGAGTGTTAATATGTTCAATATATATTATTATTAAATATCAAGAATAAATTGACTTACTCATCGTTGTATCCCAGCTAATCACCACCGCAGCTGTATCTAGAAAAATTAATATATATTTTAGTTATTGTGTGTTATCCCACAACTTTAAACATGTTATTCATTACATATTATTTATTCTTATTTCATAACATAACTATATGCAATAAAATCTATAAATAATTATTAAAAAATTTCTAGGTATTCAACAAATATTTCAATAAATATTTTTAAATGTTATTTTTTAATAAATTTTTTTTCAGCATAATTGTGTGTATGTGTGTATTATCACAATAATGAACATTATAAACTTTATTATATGTATAATATTTTGTACATATTTATAAATAATTGTACTTACCTGCTAGAATATCGCAGTTTGACCTGCCCATTGCAAAATTCTGCCACAGATTCTTCAGCATCAGTTCCATTGAAGAATTGTTGAAGAACCTGCACTCGTTAATCACACACTATTGAACGATAATTGTCTTGACAACAAAATTGTCATACAGATACGTACACCACACAGTTATGTTTCATCCGATTTAATTCCAAGTTAAATTTTTGAAATCTACATCTAATGAGAACTTGGCGTCTATTACGACTATTACGTCTACTGGCGTCTATTGGCATCTACTTGGTATCAAAAATTCTAATCAGATTGTTTCGATTTCAACCCACAGCATATCCACCATTAATCGCAAACAATCTGCAATAAATAATATATTTTGGCAATCGCTCGCTGTTTTAATCGGCACTCCCGACAAAAACTGTTGTGCTCGTTATACATCGTTACAGGTGACATTTTCAAAATAGTTCTCGCGCGCGTTAGCCTAAGGGTATATTCAGACAAACTTGTATAGCGCATAAGCATATGCATAAGGAAATGGACCAATCCAATTTCTTATGCACATCTTTATGCGCCAATGCAAAAGTTTGTGCAAAATGTCCGAACTACGGCGTCTGTATTCACTGCGATCATATCGGTTTCAATTCACGGTATAGTTCAACACTCACGATAAATAATTAAATATTATGGGCGGTATTTATAGCCCGTTCTTATATTTAAGATTGTTTTAAGTATAGTCTTAAGATGCTATAAACCAATCAGAAAGTTATATTAGTATTTTACGACAGTACTTAAGATAATCTTGGAATAAGAACGAATTATGAATACCGCCTTATGTTCCGGCAATTGCCGGAATAATATGTCATATACATATATATATCACTTTAATCGGCACTTCCGATGAAAATTTGCACTAAGTATGTACTTTTAACGGATAAAATACGCAATTGATTGCAGAGCGTTCAAATAACTTAGCATTTCGGACTGAAGCGTTATCTAGTAATTGTTATATAAAATACGTAGCGCTGAATTTTTCGATGTTGGTGGTTTGTGAAATTAGGTAAAAGAATATGAACTACTATTTAGCGCTACGCGCCCTACCGTCCGACTGTCATAACAGTTACTCGGCGCTTCTGTTCGGAACGTAGAGCTAGAACGCTCCGTATTTCATCGCGTGTATTTCTCGTTAAAAGTGTATAATTAGTGCAAATTTTAATCGGAAATGTTGACTAAAGTGACGGGCGATAGTTAGAACGTATTAGTTATCACAGATCTTTGCGTTGCAGCATAAATTGGAGCCGATACGAGTTTTGTGAGTAGAGAGATTTCGTGGACGCAAGGTACAGTTTTCGTCCGATGAAAAATATATCCATTTCAATGCATAAAGATGTAAATTTTTGTCGGGAGAGCCAATTAAAGCATACAGGTAATTGTTGGAGCATGTTAATTATTGCGGATGTTTGTAATTAACAACTATATACTGTGGATAAAAATCGAGATAATTTGAGGTGCGATCTGAATATAGATCCTATTGCAATAAACGTTACGGGCGCGAAAGTAACAATTTGAAATTTTTAAAGTGTGTAACAATTTCTGTCGTGAGTGCCGATTGAAGTGATGAACAATTGCCGAATCGTTGTACTATTTACCGCGGTTGAGCGCGGTTTCTCCGCTCGTGATTGGTGTGCGGTAGTTTTTTGTTAGATATATATTTGAAAATTTGATATGCCGGAATTAAATCGAGTAAAACATTACTGTTGTATATATATTCGTATTTGTCGACTTCTGTGTGATCGCCAAGCAATCGTCATTCGGTAGTATGTGAATAATTGTGAATTTGTGAAAGTGTGGATTCCCGGTATTCATCGATTCTTTGTTGGACACGGATGCGGAGAAGTCTGAGACAAAATCTGCAACGGAGGAACGGAGGTAGCACACTGCAATATCCTAGCTAGTGAGTACAATTATTTGTTAATTTTATTAATATCTGCATAATTATAATAATACACATATAATAACAATTATTTATTAAACATTTATTAAGAAAATTTGTATTAAATTGTTTAAAAATATTTACTAAGCTATTTATTAAAATATACATTAAATATTCATAAAATTTTTTGAAAATTTATTTTTGCACTTTATCGCATATAGTTTTAATCAAAATAAAAATAAATAATATGTAATATTTATATAGAATATATGACAATTTATAATAATAAATAATAATTTTTCCAGGTATAGCTGGATGGCGTATTTAGCTAGGGTACAACGACCGGTGAGTGAATTCATTCATTACACCTGCGTAATTATATGTTTTTGTGACATGTCTTTCACCGAGCGATTCTGTTTTTTTCGTCGGACATTGTAAAATTTGAAGATTTTTTAAATGTGATATCTTTGCGAAAAGTCTCTTCTGCACAATGGCTGAAGAAATATTTGTACATTATGTATTTTTTTACTGCAATTTTATTACAGCCTATATAATTACCCAAACAATCTCTAACTATTGCTTAATTTATAATTTGTAATTATGATACAAAGTGCATTTTATCTCGCATTTGCGTCTTGTGTATCACGACAAATTCGCGAGAAATTCGTGATTTTTACAAGTGAAAAGTATAGGTCAATTTTCATTCAGTAGAACAATTGATAATTTTCAACACATATTTTCAACATTTTTCAATTAAATCAGCACACAGTAATCTCAGATGGAATCTGCAGTAAGTGAAATAAACTACAATATCTTAATTAGTAAGTACAATTTTGTTTATTATTTAAAAATATGTACGTAACTGACAACACATGCACACAATTATAGGTATATATATATAATAAATCAATGTGAATTTTTTCATAGATATCATATGTGTATATTACAGAATGATGATATACACTGATAAGGAAGTATTAATACAGATGTTTGATATACATGAAATGTTTTCGTAATCGAAGCATATCAGTATATTGTTGACATTAATAATAATCAATACTTATAAAATATTTCAGTATATATGTATATCTTAATTATATCGGCAGTTTTAATTTGAACTAATTATCTTAAGGATAATACATTGACATATTTTCTATTATATATATCTGCAATTTATAAAAAAAAATCAAATTATTTTTATTACTCAATTTTTTATTCTAATATAATATATCGCAATATGGAGCCTTACATGACTTGTATTTTGAATCACATTAACGATAATTTTTTTTCAGAATGCTTCAAAATATTAATGTAATAAAATCTTATAAAATTGCTGCCAAGATATTAGCAATTTGTTGCACGTGCCACCTTGAAATATTTTGTGGGAAGTACATTTCGAGACGGCTATTCACATCATGGACGGCACTTGTGAGATTTGCAGAAACGGTAATAAGATTAATAAGTAATAACAATGCTAGTTGAATAAGCTACATATATATAGCATATACTCTTTTTTTTATAAATCATGACTCTTCTTTTCCCATGTTAAATCTTACTTTAAGGTAGACAAATTATTGAATATAAGTTTTTATAAGAGATGAACACTGAATGGCAGTGTTGTAATAAATTTATCTCATTTGTTCTTATAAAATAACATCCCGTTTTAAAAAATTTTAAAATTATTAAGCCTTATATCGTGAAAATAAAAGATATAACTAACCTGTTCATCAATCTTGAGGAACACAATTCGAAATTTTCAAGAATACACAGCACACAATTTTTACAAGTTTCCTTAGAAATATGTTAAAATATCTCAGAAACATTTCAGAAAAGTATTAAATTTTTCACTTAGAATATAAATTGAAAAATTATAGTATCTTTCGTGGGATGTTACAATATTTTTGTTATGAATACTGTGTTTGTTGGAAACAAGATTGTATTCATCAAACAAATGTTTGATGACAGTGCACCAATATTTGTTTTTGGGTATGGAACCAAAAAGGTATATTCTGTTGGTGAAAAACCCATATCCTCCATTTTAGCCAAGAAATCCTAAAAAAAAAAACCAATTATTATATTGCACATTTTTTACACATATACTACAAAATTGTAGTATTAGAAGGATATTTCTAATTTTTATGGAATCATAAAATTATGTAAAGATTTTAAACCATTGCTTCAAACACATACTTCTACAGTATCCTTTGCACACATTGATATAGTTTCCTTTGAACCATTTGGCAGTCGTAGGCAAAGCCGTAGAAATGGTGCATCACCTGAATTTAAAAATACTTTTAATAAAAGTAAAATCAAAAATAGCTTAGAGATAACATAAATTATGATAGATATCTTGCTTACTCGTTTCAGCTTTAGCTGTATCTGATTTTAATTTTTCATCCTTTTGTTGCTTATTAACTTCAGATTCATTTAATTTCCTTTTCTTATTAAAAATTGCTGTGCTAGTACAGGTACTGCTACTTGGAACACTTGAACTGATATCAGACGTCACATTTTCGTTTCCTGTATGCAATATTTGACAGATTAAGTGAAATGACATTGTATGATAACTAGCAGTTTAATTTATGAAATAAATCAACATGTCACGTATGTAATTACTTTATAAAATTACTAAGTTAAACTTTTTAAGTATTTAAATTTGAAAGATACTAACGTAGTTCTGTGATATTTTCTGACAAAAGTCTAGAAGTTTTACTGCTAGGTCCACAATCCTGAAAAAAAAGAAACATGTAATAAAAAGATTAGTCATGAAAGAAATTAAGAGATTGTTATCGATAAAAGTTGGATACTAACATTTTTTAATTGCTCAGCTAAAACATTTCGTTTTGGAGGCGACGTAGGAAAATTATTCCAATCTTTAGAGTCAGGTGTAACTTGTGAAGCACTTTCTGGAGATGCATGTGCACTTAACATATCGTTTAAATCAGATATTAAACTATCCACAGTAATATTGTTGTATGTTTTCATACATTCTCCCGTTCTAGGATCCACAATTGCCAGATAAGGATACTCCACTACATTATAAAAATCTATGTAACGTCTTCCATCCGATGTATTTGACAAAACCTGATTGATAATGACACATATAATTCATTTAATCAAAATATTAAGTATATATGCAAAATAGCATCATATATTTGAGTATAACATACTTGCCACAAAACAAAGTGATCTTTCACAATATCTTGGATTTGTTTATTGGACCACACATCTCTGTTAAGAATCTGACAACTAAACTCTTGTGGATTTTGGACATTGACCAATAACCAACGGTTTAAAGTCTTGGCATGATCTCGTGCTTCCATGAAAGAACCTAGAAACAAAATATCACATGGTGGTCGAAATAAATCTTCCAATCGTTTTGATTTCTTTTGAGAAATGTTCTTCATGCCAGATACTCTGAGGGTCATTTCTTCTTCTTGTCGACCTGTAACAATTAATTGTTACAGCTAATACAGCTAATACAGTCAAATTACACTACAATATATGTCATATAATAATGAAATAATACATACGGGTTTCTACTGCAAAATCTCTGAATCTATCAAACGCACTATCAGACAAACGTGGAAATGAAAACATTGGTTCTGTTGGCACCAATATTTCTTGCGTAGGTAATATAGGAGCTCTTACTGGTGGCTCAGGATTTGCATTCTCCACTTCTGGTGGTCTGCCACCTTCAAACATCAAACTAATCGCCATTTCCACATTTCCATCAGCCAATGCCAGATATTGCTGTGCTGTGGCTTCACTCTCACCTAACAGAAACACAATAGATAATACTTATTGTTAACTATATCCATTCATGGTGAAATATTATTTTTAATGCATTTTGAATATTGTTGTATTTAATTCAGGTATAAAAAAAATCACGTATGTTTACATCTTTGTGATGTACATTGCTACTTGACCGTTCATGCTATCTAAATTGAATAAGAATTATTGTATTATCAAATTTACCCGTCACTTCGATAAACTTCTCAATTAGTTCGCGATCCATCTTGCTGTTCTTTTGAATTTAGAAGAATTTTTCTCACAATATGGTACACGACCGTACAAGAAAAATACTTCTAAATCTCACTCTATCGCATCCTACTTCCTCACCACACACCAAATGACATCTCGAACTCGAACATCTCGACTCGCTCAGGCACGCTCAGACATGTATATCACACCACCGCCACTCGTCGGTGATCGCATCACTACACTACATCAATTGAAGGAATTGTTTCTTTTGATATGATTTTTTTAAATTAGCTATAATTACTCTTTCCACATATAATTATAAATGTAAATCTAATAATAATTATGTCTTATGATAAATATTTTAACATAATTTTGTCTCAAATAATTACTTTTGGAATAAAATTATTTTCTGAATACATGTTCCAAGTGCAGTTGACAGCAAACGTCATCTAGTGTGCGCTATTGTAAGCAAAATTAAAATATGATTAGCGGTATCACTAGATGGCATTGCATTTTACCAATTCAAGTATGTTGCGTTGCCGCTAGATTGCATATCTGTCAGTTAAAGTTTGACTCGTTTGACTTGTAACATCATAACGTTTGTCATTCAGATTTAACAATTTTTATGGAGAAAATTAATGAAAGATCGTGCCATAAGGTACTGTGAGACATGACAATGTGAAATACATTTTTAAGAATTTTTGCAGAAATAAAATATTGGAAGAAGAAGATAGAAACGTGAGACAGATATTGATATTTAAACAAGAAAATGAGTATCACTGGTAAACTGTTTTATAACAAGATTCGCGAATTACGTCCCGATCTGTCATCGGGGATCACACCGGAGATCTTGAGTAAAGTTTGCGATGATCCGAGCACGCAGCCTTTTCTGGAGTGGTTCTGCAAGAATGTGAACAGCGCTAATATTCTCTCTAACGAGGAAACAAAATTGTAAGATTTATTTTCTTGGATGATTCTTGGATCTTCTAAATAATTTCTCATAGTATCTCTGTTTTTACAGAAAAAATATATTGCAAGATGCAGGCGAATGGCTGGAGGGCGAAGCATTGGATGCTGAATTAAAGAAATATATCAAAGATTGTCCGGACTTGTTACAGCTTATCAGTTTGGACGATATATCCAAGGAGGATTTATTTATTGAGAATGAAACATTGAAGACAAGTTGCAAAGAAGATGAAGAATATCTTAACTTATTGAAAAATAGTATAAAAAATTTGAAGTAAGAATTTTTATAAAATTATACACTTGGAATATTTCTATGTTAATCAAATAATTTAAAGACATGAATTTGCTACAGAGAAGTCGAAAACAAGCTGGATGATAACATTGAAGAGGCAGAAATTATGTTGCATAAAGAGCAAATAGAAACAGAAAAGGCATATGATAATTGCAGTGCAATTCTAAAGGAATTTGATAAAGATAATTGTCAGTTTTCTAAAGATGTTGATACTCTCCTGAACGTGTATGCTGATGCTGCCAAGAATGTAATTACTTTAAACAATCAATGATATAAGAAATGGTTCAAAAGCTAAGATTAGATATTGTATGTAAATATTTCTTCTATTTACACAATTATTCTTGAGAATACAAATACAAATGATAAACATACGTAAAAAGAAGATTATGTAAATAGAAGAAATATTAACATATAACATCTAGACTTTTTCGCCATTTCTCATGTTATTGAATTTTTAAACTGTGAGAGCTTTTTATAATTTAATTTATATTTCAAGTTTTTTGTATATAATTTTCTTAATTAATTTAATTTATATTTAAAGTATTTAATTAGTAATTTTTTAGTATTTAATGATTTAATATTTAGTTGAAATATTTAATTTGATGTTTGATTATTTTTTCCAGCAAGGTGATGCAATATTGTGGTCACAAATGCCTACAGATTTGTTTATTAAAGAAATAGAGCTTTATAATCACTATCTAAGTAATTATATTAAGAAACAATTTGGGAGCACTGATAAGGAAGAGGAAGATTCTTCTATGGATTCAGATGATGCGACTTTAACAAATGATACTACAGATGAAAAAGTTGATAAAAGAATGCATGAGCTATTCTTATGTAAAACAAAGCAAGTATACTTTAAAACATTTTATTATACAATGTATCTATATTTATTGTATTTTGTATTTCTCACAGTTTGTATTTTTATTATGCTCTTTCTTTTTTATAGTTTAACAAATTCTAAAATAGAAGAGATTAGTGCTAAGGTTCAGGAGGAATTTAGCAAGGCGATGCTACAATGTGTAGAAGATATTTATAATAATGGAATTTTAAAGGTGCCTGGGGACGACAAATTACAGTAAATAAATTAATATTATTTATATCAAATTACTTCGATCTCTTGTAATATTAAAACAATCAAAGTTATTTTTTGCTTTCGGCATGACAAAAAAAACAATTTATATTTAAATGTAATATTTTCTTGTTTAAAATAGAGATGAAATACGGACATTAAGCGTCGAAAGGGATTTTCTGGAACAAAATGTCGAAATTTTACGGGATCAACAGTTTCCAGAGGTAATACAATTTGCAGAAATGGAGACGATAAAGATTTTGAAGAATGACGCACTCGTCCGTCTCGAACGGAGGAAAGCTCGTCTCGAGAAGCTTCAGAATTTATATTCCCTCGCAGCGAAGCATGGACATGTTCATATCGATTTATTGTGTATATTAATGGAAATGCAATTTTGTTGCCTGCGGGAGGTCGCTGAATTTATCGCCAATGCTCGTCATTATATCACCACGGAATACAAGCTCTCTTCTACAAGATGTGTTAGTAATTAATTTATTTCTCACTGTTCCTCTCAAGACTTGTTATTTTAATGGAAATAATAATTCGTATTATTTATGTACATGAAATATGTAGGAAATCATGCAACAACAACAGGATGAGTATGAAAACATCATAAAGTCTTTAAGAACTTATAATGTATTTAATGAAATATTAATTTCCATGATGCACGGTCATAATACTTCAAACGAGACGACGCTCTCTTCCGCATTAAAAAAATACGATGATTTAATAGCCGATAACGAGGAGAAAAAATTAATGCTGGAAATGCATCTGAATAATAAAATCGACAAATTGCAAAAACTGTAAGTACTGCTTTTTTTAAATGTAATTTTATTTATCAATGTGTTATTTTTTTGTATTTTGTATGATTTAGAGAAAGTGAAGTTAATAAAGATTATCTAGCTGAGACGCAAAGTGGACCAACTATTAGCTTCAGGCCAATTTCTTACGAAATAAGCACCACATGCGAGGAAATATCCACGGTCGTTCAAGATATACAAGGAGAGATTACAAAGATCAGGAATCAGTTCAAGGAACGAATGGTATAGGGTTGTTCTCATACATAATAAATCATATATAAAACTAAAAGATTAGATAACGTTTGCTGATATTTTGCATATCATAGAGAATGGGCGCCAATCTGGAACGTGAGAAGGACATTTTATGGCAAAGATTTTTGGCAGATCCCGATACATTAAGAATGAAATACGATGAAGCGAAACAAAAAGCAAATGAGTCTCATTTTAGAGATACTTTGGAAAGTAAGTCGAATTAATAAATTAATAAATCTTTGATATTTTTCATATTTGACAAATTTGTATAAAACAGGTTTTGCTAATTGCAAGGGATACACCAAATGTTTTTATATTTTTGTACTCTATTAAAATTATAAAATATCGTAATATGTATTGTATTATATGTATATATTTTATCTCGTTTCTAATCTTAAGAATTCTTTTTCAAAAAGACGCCAGCTCTATTACTGCTATGTTTTCGTGAACGTAATACGAGCAGCGCGTTACGTGTACGCGATAATGAATGATTCGTCTCAAGGACGCGTATGTGTGCGTGCATGCTGCGCGCAAGCGCGTGTAAACTCGACGACGAGGAATGACGTAGAGGAGGTGCCCGAGTGTAACCTTGATCCGCACATCGATGTCTTCCCTTCCCTTCCCTTTCCATCTGTTACCCCTTCGTCCTCCTCTACGTCCCCTTTCCGCCGTAGTATTTCGTTCAAATCGCCTCGCTTTCATGTCGTATGTACACAAGAAAATTATAAGCAAACGTTCTGCGCACGAGACGCATAGGTCCCGAGAGATATATTCGCCGCGGCGTTGCTCGCAAATGCGAAAGGCGTTTCCCGATCGCAAAGGCGATGCGTGTTCGCTTTCTCGGCGAACCAAACAGCGAATATCGGTGGAGAGAAAAAGAGAGAGGATGATGAAAGGCAGGTAGACGAGAGAGAGAAACACGGAACGGGGAAGTGGCGAGAGGTAAAGAGTACTATCGATTCGCCGGGGCTCGTGAGTTAACGGTTTGTTTACACGAGCGGGGTGGTGCGGGGACAGGCGGGCGCCGGCTCACTGCTGGGAGGTAGAGGAGAAAGAAGGGACAGGAGGTGCGCATGCGTCGCCCGACCAAAACAATAATAACAGAGTAGTAGAAGGTTCATGGCTGGCGGACGAACGGGTGGCCGCTCGTGCTTCGCTCCTCGAACCCGTTCAAACCTGGCTGTAGATTCCATTCCGCACGTATCGTTGTCGTGCGGTGAGAAAAGAAACAAAGCAACATACAGAATCCAGCGGACATTTAACGACGCGTTCGCGCCGTGTGTGTAAGTGTGTATACGTGTTCCATTACCGCAAAGTGGTGCGCTGACGGCTCGATAACTCTCGCAGGAAACAAGTTGCGTGAGATTTTCTCGAAATCTACCTCTCGAAATCAGGTACTGAGAAGAGCTTCGGTATTCGATTGATATTTTAAATCGAAACCGCGATCAAGCACGCGAGTGCTGTTTTTTGATCGACGAAAACAACGTCACCAAGAAACGAGTCGAAACGAAATCGCGTGAATTCGTGCGGAACTGCAACTACCTCGAAATAGGGAGATAAGGGCAGGCAATAAATGAGAGAAATTAACGAACATTAGACTGACATTTAATTCGAAAGCGGGAGTGCGCGGAGATATTATCTCCCTGTCAAGGCGAATCCGTCGCTCGCTCTCTCCCAGTGTTCCGATTCTTCTCTTTCTCTCCGCTGCGTGCGTTACCTCATCGCGGCAGAGTCGGCTACGTGTAACGAGTGTGTGCGCGCGTTGTGCAACTCGCCGTGCCGCTGGATTCCCGTGAGGAGAGAGCGCGAGATTCGGACAGGCACCGTGCGTTCGATCCGGCTCGGGAGCAAAACAATGCGCTGCTGGTGTAACGCGTAGCTTGTGTGTGTATCTGCGCGCGCGCGCGCGTGTATGTGTGCATTGCAGCTGCCGTGACGGCGCGCTAGTGTGCGTTTGTTTATGCGCGTAGATTAGCCGCACGCTCGTACTCGCGCGGCGTTCATTCAATAGCCAGCCAGCCGCGCGACTTCTTGTCTCCTGTCGTCGATTTTCGCTTCGAAAGCAAGCGCGAGCAGCGAGGATATATTGCCCGCGGGCCCGCGCGTATTTACTGAGTGAATCACGCGCGTCCCGTCTGATTACGCACGGACGCGCCTGGCCGGATACGGTGTATATATACACTGCGCGCGAGTATTATTGTTGACGTGTCCGCGCGCCGCGACATCGAACGAGCCGTACAGCCGTGAGAGAGAGAGAGAGAGAGAGAGAGAGAGCGATTTGCGGTTAATTATCGGAGAACGACTGTGGAGTACATAAACCTTCCATCGTGGGAAAAAGAAGAGCGAAGTCGACTTTTTCTCGCATAGAAGAACGACTTTCCGTGAACGACAATATTTCCTGAAAGAATCGTGCACAGAGTGTTTTCTTTCTCCCTCCATCTTCATCCTGTTGTGTTGTTACTGAAGAACATCGACCTAGAGTAAACAGTCGCTCGCAAGAGCGAGAGAGAGACAGCAGCATTGAAAACTAGACGGAGAAAGGAAAACAAATACAAAGGCTTGGGTGAAACGGCCGGATCCCACTAACCGCTCGAATCGGTCCACTACCTTAGTCGGACGACAGCGACGAGCTGCAAATATTCGTGAATATTTTTGAAAACTGTTGAATTCGCAAATCACAAAGATGCCGAGCGCCGAGGAGACGACGTATCTGATCGGCGTGATGCCGGACGGCGCGGCGCAAGCCGACGCGTTCCTGACGCGCGACGTCGACCTGCTGGTGTCGCAAATCAAGGAGAACCTGCGGCTGTCCAGCCTGAAGGCCAAGTCCAGCGTGAGCCACAAGAACAGCCGGCCGTCGCCGTATCGGGTGCCGGCGCGTTCCTGGGGCCGACCCGGCGGCCGGCTGCGAGGTCTGCGGTTTGCGATCCAGCGGCCAGCAGCCTCAGCAGCAGCAGCATCACATGTCCACGGGACATCATCATCATCACCACCACCATCACCATCATCACTATCACAACCATTTGAAGAGGAGCGAAAGAAATAGAGTGGACGACGATCCGTACGAGGTGCTGCAAGAGCTGCTGCGCGAAGGCGGTCTCATCAAAGAAGCGGTTAAAAGGCTACAGGCGAACCTCGACGAGCTTTCCAGCTCGGAGGTGGACGAGGATGAAGAGGTGGATGACGAGGACGATGAGCAGCGATCGAACGGTGGCTACCGTAGGAAGCCGTATTTCTACGATTCCGAGGACGAGCCGTTGCCGCCGATGTACGATCCTTTGGAGCTGTGAGGTGCGTTGCAGAAGCAATGTTTATAAAGATAATCTTTCCGAACGTTTCCTCGTTCTCGCCGTGAATGGCATTTTTATCGCCGTCCCTTTGACTTCTCGCAGGGACGAAAATTTCTTTGAGCGTCGCTGGGTATTTTGTTCTGTCCCTTTCTGCGACCAGGTTCGAGAACGAAAGAGCTTTGTCTCGAAAAATAGATCAGCGGGGAATCCTCTCGAAGGGTAGAAGAGGATTGCCCTGCGGAAACATCATTCTTCTCGGAAGATCGCGTGGGAGTCGACGACGACAATATGCGCGTGTGGTAGTGGAGCAGTGCGTTCACGCCCACAGACACAATTAGGCGAGAACTCGCCTTACATGGCCGTGTTTGTAAATACGCTGCGTTGTCGGCGTTGCGCGCTAGCTCGCTTCGTAATGGCCAGAGATCGCCGTCGCCGCTGTATCGACGCTCACGGGCCTACGTGGAAGACTTATGGCCGCCGCCGACGCGGTCCACTCGACTTGCTTCAGCGTTCGCGAAAGCGTACGAAAGATGTTCCTTTCCCGTGTAGCGTTACTGTGTTCTGTTTCACTACTGTGTCAATAATTTTCTCGTCGGTATCATATAACATCGGATTGATGTTTGATTCCGGTTTGTATCGTTGATTAAAATATACACACGAGAGATTTGTTCGCGTCGCAACCAATCTATAGTATACGTAATGTAATACTATAGATTGGAGTATATTGGAGCGAGTAAAAGCATGTTGAGGCATGTGACGCGAACAAACCTAAGATGTTCCTTTTCCAGAGCGCTGCTCTGTATTGGTGATATTCATCGATATTATAACAATGATCAAATTATCAGGCGAAATAACAAATGGTAATGAATTGATACAGTATCTTTAATTTCTCAAAACACAAAACAATTTCATAATTTCACAAATTGAGAAATTATTAATAATCGTAACTGAAGTCTTATGAAATTGTTTTGTGTGTGTTTTGAGAAATCAAAGATATTGTATCAATTCATTACCATTTGTTATTTCGCCTGATAATTTGATCATTGTTATAATATCGATGAATATCACAATATCGAGTACCTCTGCAGCTGATTCATCACAAAATTCTTGATTAAAGTTCCAAATATCAAACCGAATAAATTGCCTTTAATAAATATGGAGAGAAATTAAAAGTACACAGCATCATATAATTTTTAAATGCATTCTTAGTAGGTTTTTTTCGATGGTATTTGTTTTGTAGCAAAATTGCTATTTTTTTTTGCACTTAGATAAGAAAGACTGAAAAATCTTAAAAATAATAATGGTAATTTTTTTTTGCTTTTCACCAATTATTACTAATTACATATATCTTCAACCACAATTTTAAAGATAAGATTGATCATTTTTTTTATTATTTCTATTCATATTTCTAAAGTTAATCCGACACGTCATCTTAATGACTGTTTAATTCGAGCATTAGAAATCAGTGTTGACTAAGTCTGAGTCTGAGTCAGGTGATTACTAGGAAAAAAAGGAAAATCTTGGTGTCTGGCGAGCTCTAATACTTGTCAATATTAATCAATATTTGTCTGATAAAAACAATTGTTTATTTTGTGACTGTTTATTTGCAATTCGGGAAAGAGAAAGGATGAGGGGAATTTCGTAACTTAAATTCCACGAGCGATAACAACTGTGGATCAGTATATTTGTAATGCAGATGCTATACTTCGGATACCGTAAACACGCAAGTACCATAAAACAATAACTGTTAATAATCGTTATTCCACCTCATAGTATCTCGAATCTGTATTATTAAGTATACTTAGCGTGAGTTTAGCGCGTTTACCGTATTCGAAGAACGGTACTGCGGGAACTCTGATCTCGAAGATACGGGAAGTAATATGTTTTGAGATTCCGTAACTTTGAGTTTTCCTGGGTGGTGAATAGCGAGCCTCGCTGCGTTGGGCGAGCAATTTACATCGATTTCGGTTGTAAACTCGTCGAATCGCTAGTTTATACCGATGCCGTGTGGACACTATAAATAGACAGTTCGCTAGAAGCGAAATGCCACCCGCAAAGAAACCTCGAGTCACACAGCGTCGTCGTGGCTTCCCAAAGGAAAAGTCCGTGCGCTTACGCGGCGAGTTACGAGACGAGAGAGATCTATGCGTTAAGATTGTCTAAACATAGTACAGGGTTTTCCAAATTATGAAAGAGAAAACGTAGCGACCTAGAATGTAGTACAGATAGTACGAATAATTTCGCACACAATTCCAATCAAATAATAAAACTATTTCGTAATGGGAGAGCATAGTTTCGGAATAATTTGAGGATGAGAGTATCGATGGAAGCAGCCGGCGGGCTGTGCTGTTAAACAGGACCCGGAGTCCTGCCCGGGATTTACACGGTCCAATTTGCGCGAGTGAGACGCGACGGCGGAGTAAACCGCGCCCGCGATCGATCAACGACTATTATCGATGCCTTCGCATTAGGCGGCGGAAGTATTAGGGGCACAATCATTCGCGAGAGAGGAGGACACACATAGAACACAGACATGGTGATCTCATTTATTTTTTCATGATGCGCGCGACGAGCGGACTTAGCCAATCGGCGCGACGCGAGATCATTGATATAGCTTAGCTTAGACTCGGTTTAGTTCCCGACAGCTGCGTCCTTTTAACCCTGAAGGGTACAAGACACTGTCGTCCGTTTAATGAAAGCAGCGAGAATTAAAAAAAAAACGAGGGGGATAAAAAAAGGACTGACGCAGGCTTACACGAAGACGCTTATGCCTGTGAAAATGTATCGTGAGGATCGAACGTGATTGCGAGATTCATTGTAATAAATAGAAATTTCCAAGTCCAAAGTTTTTGAAGATGTAATTTCATTTATCTGTGAAGTTGCATATCGAGGAAATTTCGGTTGCGGTTCGCGGAATTTTCGGAGATTGTTACGACTTTTTGAAGCAACGGAGAGGAAAAAAGAAAACAAAAAAATCTCTACGGGATTCCAATCGTTATGTCGCGTTTAGGGGTAATTCTGGCGCATTAGAGTATTAAATATGAAGAGGTGTAAAATGTCAAAGATGTAGATAACGTCCACGTTGCGGGAGAAACTGCGATGGAGAAAAAAAAAAAGCATAATCGTGAAGAGACGAGGATCGTAAGATTCCTCCGCAGGGAAACGTGCGTTAACGTGGACCTGTATAATAATAACGTGTAGCTTTATATCTTTCTGTGCATGTTTTAGTGCATAGCTACTTATCGCTATCGATCGCTAGGAGCGACACACACCGTTGATGTTACATACACTGTATCCTACAGATCATTGTACGCGCGTGTATTGTGCGAGTTTCGCGGCGCGAAATGATGTACCATTGTCGCGGGTAATTCACTCCGCGCGTGGAGATAATAAAGGGAAGGATCCGTCCGTAATAAAGACTCCCACGGGTCAGTTGTGACGTCATGCAAAGCCAAACGTAATTATTGACGAGGACTATCCATCTCGTGCGGTATTCGCTATTAATAACGTAGCGAAAAATCGCAAGAATCTCATTTTGCCCTCAAAACCGCGCGATCGATTCGCGTGGAAGCCTTCGATTATTCCCGGGCGCAACATGACGTCACAACTGCAGCGTCCGGGATTTTATTATAGACGGTGTTGGTGAAATGCGGTCGCGCGCGATGATGACGCAATAAAAACGTCGCACTCTTGTATGTAGCGATGCAACGAGCGATGAAGGGGAGAGAAGATCGTGCGCGGCTCCGACGTCAATTTTCGACGACGTTAGCCGTCTTATTCGACTAATTAGATAAGCTAGTAATTAGTACACACTGCGCGTACCTACTGCGAGCGGAGCGAACGAATTGCATCAGGATTCCACAGTTCCGACGAGCATGCTTGTATGTGTGTGTATATTTGTGTGTCTGCGCGAGATTGTGTGTGCGTGGGAGAATTGCGTTAGTCTCTTTCACTTTTTTTTTTTTCTTTATTTTCCGTACGACGAATGAGCGCAATCCTTCGTTCTTTTTTAAGTTCTCCGTTAAAGATCGTGCATTATGAAAACTATATCTCGTTGTGATCGTCGGGCTCTCGTCAGCCCGATAAGTCTTAATTGTAAAATAAAAAAGTTCAAAGTTTCGATGCAGATATGTGTGTATTCTTGCCGTTGGCTGCATGCCGTTGCGCGAAAACTTTCCATCGACCATCCACTGCTCCCTCTCTCTTTCTCTCTACCCTCATCGTCATCAAACGTCGACATCAAACGGTTCTGCTTGGTGTCTGATGACGGAGCGTGCCACAAATACATTGCGGATACGTGTTACGCCGACATCATACAGGATGTCTTGTCATTATCGTTTCTTCTTTTGCAATCGACATTTACTTAAGCAATTTAAGCCTGAGTACGAAGTCGCTTAATGCGATACTTGGGCAAATTAAAACGCGAGTTGTAGGCAGAAGACATGCAACAATCTCATTTTCAATTAATTTCCATTAAATGAATTTAGCGTAAAATTTATTTTCAGATGCTTGAGATGTTTAACGTGCCGAAGTGTTGAATATTATTGGCTTCCACGGAATTTACTTTAGGACAATCTTGATGTCCTCCGCCAAAATTTCATTACTGAGAATGGCGGTATAGTAACGGGACACCCTATATAACTGGTGGTTCACTGGCCTTCTGATCGTTGGCGCGCGTTGAAACTGCTCTTCGTGCCAGCTTCTAGAAATTTGCTTTCCGCCTTACGTTCGCCGGTCTATATCGTGTTGATAGTAACCGCGATAAAGGTATGTATACTGCTGGAGTTACGCGAGAAACCGCGATATATCCTAGATTTGCCGCAGTGCTTTCGATATTTTCGAGGCCTTTGAGCGTTTAAATGCTGATTGCCCTTTCTAGTCTTTTTAATAGCCTGCTACGATGTTTAAAAACTTTGTTGACGTAGACGTCATAGTGAGAGAAGTGGTGGAGCGAGTGCCATTTCATAGTAATTTTCGCAAAAGCGTTGACGGCAACAATGACAGTAATAATATAGCAGTAAATTACGGGTTCTTAAAGGTCTACGCAGGCAGAGAACGAAACCGACACGTTTTTACGAGGCCAGTTTGTTCGACGCCTCTGACCTGAAACCGGCGGCTCGAGACGGAAGGGAAAGGGCCGACCGTCGATTTCAGGCAGCCAGGTCATTTAATAATTCGCCGCTTTTGGAAATTAACGTTTGCTCCGAGCGGGAAGCAGTTGCTTCAATACTACGTAACGCCGCAATTATTATTGCGTTGCGTAATAGACAATAGTTCATAATTTAGAATTTTTTTTATTTAGCAGCGAACTGTATATATTATTCAATCGTTGCCTCCATTTATTCTTCCATGCAAACACAATGTTTGATATGTTCTATTTTTTTATTTGCGTTTTATTTTTATTTTATTTTTATAAAATAACGTAAAATAATTTTTTTTATATTAAATAGATATCGAGAATTAGTATTTTTCTTTCGTTTTGATAATTCTGCGAATAACAGTTGGAGTGTTGTGCTATGTGTGCATACATATATATAGTAGATTCTAGCAACGTAACAAGCTTAATTCGATTGCAAATTGTAAATATACTTATTTTTCGTCATGAGTAAAAAAATACACATCTGGGATTGGCGAGGTTAACGAGTGAGCTCGACCTGCAAGAAAGGCAAATGTCATCATGAGACAGCTTTGAAAGCGGAGATTGTTAGGAGTGCGGTTGTTTTTGCGAGTCACCAGTTGTCGCCGAAGACTTTGCTCGGATGACTTGACGCGAGTGATTTTCATGTTTATGAATGTGCGCGAAATCGAAGAAATCGAGCACGGCGCAATAAGTAACGTCAACTTTCGGCTACAGTTTCATGCATCTATCGGTGCGATTAATATTACGAAATCTTAGCTAACGCGGCGACTCGATCTCGTCAGCAGGCAGATTGCCGCAACGTGTGATCGATATAAGCTGCATGTATATAGCTCGCACGGCTCGTCTTATGCAATTAGGCCTTTCCAAGTAATGCTATTTATCACTCCCTGTCTTTATCACGTAACCGAAGTAATCAATGGATAACGTATGGTTACGCGCGCGCGAAAATAAACGGCGGAAAACTCGGCGCGGCTTGACCTAATTCAAGAACGTCCGTTTATACGTTTGTCTACCATCTGGCGTCGCGCGAAACACGACTAGTGACATAGATGTTAACTTTGTATTAATAGAAATCGTCGTGCGCGAATAGCGGGGGTATATAAATCTATTAATAATAATAACGTGCAGGAAATTTTTCAAGAGAAACTGAACGTACGTGCATTTATTATTATTGTTTCGTGATATTTTTAGCCGCGCGGTGTGTGCGATCCTTCTCGATCGACTCTTATCGGATCCAGCTGGCAAGATTTCACGCAACATTTTGTCTTTCATATCTTCGATAAATTTTTATTCGAGTTTTTAAAAATACATGGTATTCTACATGCATATGATGTTTCGTGAATTCTGTCACGTTACCGATGCGCAACGTAATAGGTCTAGTAAGATAAAACATTGCCGCCCCCAAGACTGATAATAAGCTAAATTGACAGGAGAGGGGAGATTGATTTCTCATTGTATCGAGTTTCCAACGGCAGATAAAAATAATAGTGGGCGACGGCGTAAAGCTCGAGTAATCAATAAATAAAATCTGATTTATCGTTCTTATTTTCCATTCTGAAGTGGTGGCAAATGTTGTTACTCTTATCAGTTTGTATAATTGATTTTCGATGGTAAAGCCTTTTTATCGCCTTTCGCGTTAACAAATAGCGTCTTATATAATATGTGTAACCGTTCGCGCAACCTTCAGGCAAGGTCTTTATGCCTGCCGTTCGTAAACCGAGAATAGGATTCTACATCGACTAGAGTTCGAAAGAAAACCTTGCGCTATAATTGTACGCGAGACGGCATCGCATTTCACATGGCGATTTTTGCTTAACATTGTCCGTTCTTTGAAAAAACGGTGAAACAAACATGAATTATCACACTGATATTTTTGTATTTTGATAAAAATAAAATGAGATAGATCAGTAATTGGAAATATTCAGCACGTTATATTTACAAGAAACATCGACTTATAAACATTATGTTATTTCTGAAATACATGAGGTGATCCGAATCGATTTGCAGCAGCAGAATAATAATGATATCTCTATTGATATAAATTGAGAGCACTCGAAAGATTTTTTATATCGGAATGTTTTTATTATTAATTAAACGTTTCATTTTTTCCACTGACCTACAATTATGAAGCGATAGATTCGATATGGATCTTTCTCTTTCTTTAAGCGGTCCGGTCATAAGTCAACAATTCGAATGTCTAATAACAGATACTAAGACCTTGTTCATGCGTTGACACAGATTTCGGCACGAGATAGCGAACGCGATGCGACCTAGTTGCACGTTGGAAAAAAACGACGATGCGTAAATGCGATAGTATGAAGTTGTAATATTCTTCACGGTTATTGTTATCATAAGTACCAATTAGTCTCATATAAACAATGAAATCAATTGTTTGAATAAAAATACGGGAATATTTTCGGATTAAATTTTCTTTAGGTCTTCAGTATTATAAAGTTTTTTTATAGAATATGATCTAATCTATTTTTTATTGTTATATTTTTATTCTTTTTATTATTTTATTATTTTATTTATTTTATAGTGAGTACTGTAGAATATGAAAAAAAAACTTATTCTTTTAAATGGAGATTTATTCATTGTCTCTTACAACGGAGACTCAGTTTAACATGTCAAGCTTTCTTTAATGATTTTTGAAAAATACGGTAGATAGAGTGTCCGCTAATTTCCTTTGAAAATTGGTAAACAATGACGGCGAAGGTATTGTTGGCAAACGTTGCGTCAGATCGCGTCATCGTTTCAGGCTGCACCGTGATCGGCTACTGTCGGCCATTGTCGACTGTCACCGACTACCACGCGCCGGGCGAACATGTGATCACCAGGCCGAGCTGTCAGCTGAGCACGTCGTTGTCGGGCGCGATAACGAAGCCGATACGTGTAATGCGCGTCCGTATAAAGAAACGTGATTTCCGGTAGTCTCGCGCAGTGACCACCTGGATCATTCTCGTCCATCGGTTTTGAGCACCGGCGGACACATCAGCGACGTGGCAATCTTGAGGCCGAACGCCTACTGTCGCGGAGACACTACGATCAGCAAGCAACATGGCGGATCACAGTCGCGCGGACTCGTATGTACAAACACAGGCGATTTATATACCGTGCCGGCTCTTCCTCGTGTCATTGCCCTTCGCGGAAGTAGATTCGCGCGCGAGTGTTTTCATTCGGGACACGGAATCGGTGTATTTTTGGCGAGTATTTCGCCGCGCGAGAGCTGTGCAATGATTTCTTTGTGACTGGTTAATCCTTTTCTTTTTTTATTTATGACATGACACATAGCATTGTTTTCAATTGCCAATTTCTATTCGTATGGAAATCACGTGTCGAGAAACTGGTGAATACGCGAGCAAATGTAAATGTCGCGTGATTCGTAAGTAGTTTGACAACGAGCGATACACTGAAAAAAAAAAAAGCGTCGATGGTATTTGCGTTGAATCGTGAGATTGCTCGTGCTCGCTTGCGGCGTGGATCCGTTCTCCCGTTCGTCGGCGAACCTGATCGTGCTCGCTTTCCCCTGACCTGGCCGGATTTTGAGGTTATGCTTGCTGTGGGAGCGCTTACGCGACGTTCGCTTGCCGTTAGAATCTTGCCGTTGACCCTTGGACCGTCTGATAACAGCACTCTCGTACAAGATGTAATAATGGGTTGGGTCGAGAACTGTAATAGAGGCTTCGCGCGCAACTCAAACCATAACGTCGCGTGCAGTAGGTCGAAATAATTGACGGTTTCTTCATGTTGATTGATTCACCCTTAGTAGCAGTGATGGAATTAGCAAAGGAGAAAAAAATACACGATAGTATTATTTATATTAAAAAACAGCTTTTAGTTATTTTGGTTTAATGTTTTACATTGTCAAGCGAAAGATGTTTAATAGTTGGTTAGAGACATATATATGTATATAGTTGGTTGCATTTGTTGACGGACATGACGTCTTTATTCATATGTTGCCAAGAATGAATTCTTAATAGAAAACACGACTGCATAAGAAGGTTTCTAGGTTGTCCGGCTTGCGTGTGGAATTAATGACGCGTTGTTTACGTTTACATTGTTCGCCATTATGCTAAGCGTGTAGTCGGCCGTTCCGTGTGAAGAAACTATGGTTGCTTTAAAATACAGATCTGTTCACATTGTTTCCTTTTACCTGAGTGTGAAATTGACGTTAAACTTTCTTGAAAATTATTGCCGGCTATAAATTTCAACAGAATTTTATCATGTTTGTTTAAAAATAAAACAATTTTTTAATACACGATTTATCACGAAAACAGTTTTAAAAATTGTAGTTTTAGAAACTTTTTTAATATTATTTTTTATACAATTCTTTTCCTTTATTATATTTTGTTATAATTTGCTATAATTATTATTGTTATTGTTATTACACACTGAAAAATTGCTGGAAATTATTGGAAAAGTTCGAAGAAAGTTGCTTATTTAGTCTCATTTTTGATGACATAACTGGGGACAAGAACAAAATTCAAAGTATTATCGCACTTTTTTGTAGCGAGAGTATGACGATATTACTTATGGTAAACAAAACGATGTGTGGATCGTTATCATCACTGTTTGTTGGCCTCTAAATTTCGATCCACTTCAGACCATTCGTATTTTTCAATGTTAACATTTTACGTAACGTTAAACCGGTGCGTACTGATACTTCTGTTTTTTTCGTCGGTAAACAATGATATTACTCATCTCTTCGCACATCACGATAAGAACGATCTTGACGGAGTTAAAAACTATAAATTTTTTTTGTGATATAAATAAAAAGAATGTAATCTTTTATTTACCTACAAGAGTAGATAAATATGTGAATTTTTCTCTTTCAAGTGAAAAGAGAGGATGACGTAATATTTTGCAGCACGGTGCGATATCATATCCAAGAAAATAATGTTCGTGGAATATATAATTGCTTATTTAGCTGTACGTAATGCTTTAAGGCATGTATGATTATCGTATCAACATATGAAGATATTGTATTCGGTGTACTTTGCATTAAAAAGTTTATATTAAAACACGCATATTATACCGAATTTTATTTGCACGATATGTCAGAACGAAATTAATAATCACAATCGTGTGATTACGAACTTACGATTATTGTGATTATTGTATCTGGAATGTTTTATTCTGAGAATATTCGCACAAAATTTTTATGTCGGATGCTTTACGACGGCGTGTTTCAGATACAAACGCAAGGAGAATTGACGGAAGTGTTTATGCGACAAGTTAACAGAAAATATTGAACATGTGCATCTGACCTGCGATGCTTTCACTTCTTTCGTGCTGAGAACGTGCCGTTTCGTTTAATGTCAAATAGCAACTCTCTTCTACTTTACTCCACATGTCTGATCTCATTTAAATTAATAGAATTAAAAATAATTAAACAGTTTCTATTATAAACTTTTTTTATACCATTATTCATGTGACGTCATTGTTCAATTAAAAAGTTTACACATCGACACGTACACATTGAATACACACATATCGATATTTTAAATTCAAAACTTTGTAATTAAAATTCAAATTTTACTTATAACATATTCCGATTAATTTGTCAAATTTTGAATTTAAAATGATTTTAAGTTATTAATAGATAAGTTTATTTAAAAAAATTTGATACATGAAAAAACTGTTATATTAACAGAAAAAATAAAATTGATCGGAAATTCGAGATACGAGATACGTTTAGATTGAAGGTATCGATGTATAGCAAACGATGGAGTTCCCAACAATGTTGCACATGACTTCTCCTGGCGGAATAGCTTCAGGAACCAAACCAGGTTAAATATAATTTTCAAATAAATGTTAAAAAAGTTGCGTCGAGCAGCTAATTTGATGGAGTTTAGAAACGCTTGAACGCGGTAGCGAGATACCGGGAGGGCGCGGAGCGTTAGGTATAGCGAGATCGTATACAGATTACGCGCGTGTATCTCGTTAGCGCGCTCCAAGTTTCCTGTGTGCCGTCACGCGTTTCGTCTCGGGAATACAGCAGAACAAGAATTGTGTCAGTCAAGAGACGCGAGTCGTCCAATGACACGGCTTAAATATAAACCGAATACATATGCGAGGCCACGTGAAACCACTTCTCTCTCTCTCTCTCTCTCTCTCTCTCTTTCCTTCGTGAGAATAGACGTCTCGTCTCGGGTTCTATTTTACGCTCGCGCTGTAATTACTAGCCGCCAAATATCGAGCTCAGTCGTCTGGCCACGCATTTTCTATTATTAGACACACAATAATTTTTCTCATTTTTTAAATTATTATTTTTACTCAATAATAAATGATTGTAGTAAATTTCTTTGAAAATTTTTAGTTGTACGAACGGTGATGAATTTTCTCGAAAAATTCCAATAGTGAGACTGAAGATTATAGCAGTTATACAATTTTCATGCACACGATGACCTTAAGTCGCATAAATATGCTAACTAAAAATATGATTACCGGCCGCCTTCTACGTGCCTTTTCACCTTTACGCGCATCTCGTTGTCTTTGTTTACGATTTATTCAAATAAAGTCTGGAGCCAGTCTGCTTAAAGAAGGCCTTGTGAAGCGTATAAAACCAGGAATAATTCAATTGTACGTAAAGTGCTTTCTTACATAGTTTACGTAAGTTTGTAATCTGAGTTGCATACTTTTATAAAATTTCTTGTCAAATATTTCATGCGAACGATAACGCTTCGTCGCTTTTGTGACGCAATTTTTGTGAATCACCTAAATGCGTTTGTTTACGGCGTTGTAAAAACGGATATATCAATGTGTAAGCAGGCAGAGCGATATAAACGTGGCGGATCTACTTTCTTTTTAGAAAGTCTCGGCGATATTATCGGAAGCGAAATAATTATTTAGGAGCAACGTATCGTAACGTTGCAGATGCAATTCACATATACGTTACTTATGACAGTGATTTTCAGTAATAACGCGATATGCGCGACAATATTAACGTTCAAACATAAAATTGGAACATTAGTTGTACGATTATCGCCGTAATCGCCTTCTACGCAATCATTTTTTGTTTTCTCTGCCAATTACATATTATTTGCTAATGTCAGAGTTTCGCTAACAAAAAGATACAATTTTAGATGCGTCAAGGGCCAAGCTCACTTCTGGCGATGCAACGAGACCTTAAAAGTGCCCATGTCTCTTTTTCGCGATAATCGCCAGCGACTCGTCTCACGTCTCCACGCGAATAGCGAAGTTTCTGCCACGGGCACTTTCGTCGTTCTCCAAGGTGGCTTGGATGTTCCCTTCAACGACACGGACGTCAACTGGCCCTTCAGACAGGTGCGTGCTCACACACTGCTTTTTGAATCTTTGTCGGATCAATAAGAATACAATTGATTTGCGTATATTAAAAACAGGAAAATTTTTTTATACTTTTAAATAAATCAAGGTTTCTTTATTTAAAAAAAAATACTAGAATTCTCTGGATTTCAAATTTTGAATGTAAAATTTGAGTGCGAATAGAAAACCATTTGAAACTTGATGATACCATCAGAAAGTTTTCTTTTATTAAGCATCGCTCGTAAAAGAATTTCTCATATTACTGGAATTTATACTATCGGTTACGAACGTTGAACACGGTATTTGTGTGAATTGAGCGTCGAAAGAGCGAAGGGATCGTTTTTTCTTCCCTTGATCTTTCCGAAGCGCCGTACAAGAAGCGAAGTGCGCGATCGCGACCGATGGGAGATGAGAATTCCGAAGATTCAACCGCAATTACGTGGTCTGACTTTTACGGCTATTTTTGTCGCACGCCCCTTGCCGGAGTAACGACCGTAAAGACAATTGAGTTCGCCGGAAAGTGTTCAATACGCGCGTCCCCGTCGATACGAGAAAGTTCATTAGATTTATTTCGACGGAAAACGGATTAATGCCACGATTGCAAATTCAATTCGCCGAATTCGAACTTTTTATCGCCAAATGGTACATTGGCAAATTAGTCAGTGATAAGAATGACTGTATGACAGTTTATAACATGCTGAAACTGATAACATATGTTAAAATGTGCGTTCAAGAATATTGACACTTAAATAATTATGTTTGCCACTGAAGAAGAAATATTTTGTACTTGCTATTTAGAATTTGCTTGTCAGATATTAAAATAGCGTGGCGTTAAAAAAACCTGCGTGTTAATGACATAAATATGCTAAAGTGTATTCGTGTATTCGCGCTGCGGCTTGTTTACCACACATTGTAGAAGAAATTTATTCGGGGATCGCTGATGCGCACAGCCTGGCTGATATCAGATAATTTTGTGAGATGTGAAGACCAAATATTATTATCTGCTGTCTTATCGCATGATAAGCATTGCAGAATTCTTATAAAATAACACTGTGTGTGTTTTGCGAAGCGCACTACGACTTCGTTCTTCAAAGCGATATTTTATCAGTTTTTTTTTAAATTTATTCTTGTTGTATAAAATAATTATCTTTGCTTCTTTCCTTTCCGCTACTTTTATTTTCTGAAATTAATTTGCACATAATATAATTCTTTTACATAACGAAACAGTAATGATGCAAGAGATAATAATGATGTCGAAATTTTTCTTAGGAGAGTTTTATTGCCGCTTTACATAAATTGTTGCACCAGATTATTTTAGTAAATAGAGTTTACGCTACATTAACATCCGAAAATATGCTCTCGTCAAAGTTCGCGAGTCGCCGAAAATCGACGCAACGAATGACGACCCGGATCGTCACGCTCCTGGCGTGCAGACGGGCGCTCTGGCAGATTGCCTTTAAAACTCGCTTTACTAGAACCAAGAGGTACCGTTCGCACGGCTCTCTCTAGAAAAACACACGACCGTTCCGTTCGTTCGTCCGTCCGTGTTCCAGCCGTTCACATGCGCGCTTTGTTTAGCGCTCGGCCGCGACTGTTTTGCGGAGCAGGTTTCAAGAAAATTTTAATGGACCGAGAAATAGATCTTCCCCACCTATTTCTTAACTCTTAAATTTATCGTTTGCATTAAATATTTAGTATTTAATGTAATAATATATTTTTTATTTATTATACATATTTTATATTTCTCTCTCTCGCTCTCTCTCTTTTTTTTTATATTTAGGTACTTGTCATACTTTGTCGTAGTTGTACTTTTTCCCACGGTTTAACCTAAATTTTATTTTATTCCATGAGAGAATATATAAGTTCATTAGATGACGAAATTCTTGCTGGGTCGGTGAGCCAGGTGTACAGTGTGTTAGAATATATTCCGGTCGTTCCCACGTGAAATAGTGGAACTCGAACCGATTGTATTCAACGCTTAGTGATCTTTCTGTGAGTACAGATGGTGTGAAATATTTGTGCCGCTCGGAATTCCTCGTGATTAAGGCTGCCCATTGTTATCTTCAGAGATCTAAAAATAACGTTTTTATATTTTTCATCGCGATGCTCGTTAACTTGCTCTTTTGTTCGACTGCTAACGTGCAATTCACAGAGCTACATTAGATATTCAGTTAAGTTTGCAACCACATTTCCATTCACAACTTAATGTGCAGGTTATATTCAACGTTATCACGGATTGATAATCATACAGCCACATTTAGTACATTCAGCATTGAATGCGGCTACACGACCTAAATTATTTCTTGCCAACGAAATCATTTCGCTTCGCGCGGTGAATTTTTATGATACAAGAACAAGTAAAAATGATAAACGCGAGGGAGTTGGAGCCAAGGAGTCACATGATATGTTTGCGGGTTAAGGCTGTAGCATATTAAAAAGTAGAAAGCGATAAGCTAAGTTTCGAAAAGATGATAGATTACGTTGAAAAAAGTAATACTGTTATATGTTCGATTTGAAATTGAGAAAAATGAGGTTTTCGATTGAGGTTTCTGGGTACATTTTCTGATTAAATTTTACTGGTTACATTTTTTGTTTGCATCTGTGCTATGGGAGTAATGTGAACATTATCTCGAGATATTCCAGACCAGCTCGGATTTGTGCTACGCTTGCGTCATTGTTGATCTTCCCAAGCAACGTTTGCGCCGAACTGATGAAAGCTTAGAGAGAAATGTGCTCGTTTTATTCAATCGCAGAGAAATTGAAAATCTGGTTTCGGTTTAATTTCTAAGACATTTAATGTCGAAAAATTTTAAATCTACATCGAATGGTGCATCGTAATATTTTTATACGGGAAAAGTCAACGGTATATTTATCGTAAAATCCGCGGTTGGACGAACATCCGGTGCTTCTGGGACATCCTGCTTGCATGCAATCAAGATGGTGTTCCAGTTTCTAATTTGGCGAATAGCGGGTCGCACGTTTCTTTGTGCGCAACGCGCGCGCGCGCGCGCGCTTGCTCGACAGTTAAAACGATGTACTCGTGCTGAATTCGATATCGCGGTGCTTGTTGTTGCGCGATGTTGCGATCAATACGAGACCCTTCTGTCGCCGGATCCTTTCTTTATGCAGTTGTGTATTAATCCGCGTCGTCGTACGTATTTTCGACGTATTCCTGCCGCGCTCAATACATAGCGCTCGCGGCGAAAATAATAAATAATAATAATTTTTAAGAGTAAATTATATAGCGAATTAGTTAAATGACATAGTTAGAAAAGCATTTAAGATACATTATAATTTTTATAATCTTTAGAAATATTTTACATACAAGACGCGAAAGAATGTTCATATTTCAGCATGTTGGAGTTCTGAAACTTCAACTCAAACATTATTATTTCAAAACTATAATATTTTACAATCTGCAATACTAAAAATTGAATGTCATAATTTTGAATTCTTATGATAAAAATTATAAGGTTCAGAAAAATTGTCCATTAATGCTCTAAATGAAATAGTTGTGACAAGGTAACAGATAATCCTAGGTTAGCATTATGTGGCGCATTATGTGGCGCACACAACGACGTGTCATATGTATGCTATACATATATATATATATATAGAATATATGTAGCTCCTTTAAGATAATACCTGCTGGTTGTGCCGAGAGCACGTTGACCTGATGGCCGATCGTTCTGAAGCTGTTCTGCCTTCCTCTCTCCCCGTTCTCCGTCTTTTCCAGTACACCGACGGAAACGCGAATCCGAGAGCGATCAGGAGACGGAGAGAGTGAGAAGACTCCAGCTCTTGAACCCAAACACAAGGCGCAACGCGTTACGACTTGTTCTCGGCTTATTTCTTTCATCGTTTTATCCCTGGAATTTCGACCTGCTGAATTTTTCGGAACTCACGACAATGACGACGACGACCGCGCAGATGCCTCCGCCAATGCTAAGGATGCGATATTGTGGCATTATCCAGCATATATAGTAAATCCGCTTTCGCAGCTGCACCTGCCGCATTTGTTTTCTTTCTTTAATCGCTCCCCAACGCACGAGCGTATACTTTTTTTTTATCTTTAATGTGAGTTATTCTTTTTACTTAGCGGTCTACTGATATTCCTTTGGGTGAAATTTCATTCAGCTTATAGTTGAAAATATAATTTTTCGCATTAGCCTAAAGCAGCAATTAAAAATGTGTAATATCTCTAGTATTTTTTATTTTTTTTGAACAAAAAATTTATCACAATCTGTCTTAGTCATGTAATAAATTTTATTTATCTAAAACGAGATAGAAAGCAAGAGTCAAAACAAACTTGAAATAAAAACGGTACGAAGTGTTACGTCAGTGATTGTGAGATAAAACATGTTTTTCGTTTCTCAAGTCATATATTCTTGTCATATTTTCTGTTTTTCTTATTTTTTGCTGGTAGTCTCGTTGTCCCGAGTTCGGGAAGAAAATATTTTGATCCGAACAAATCTGGGAAGGTCGTGGAATTTGTTGGCACAAAAAGACAGGTCAGGTCTTCAAGGTTGAGGACGCCTTTATGCCGAGACCGCGGTGGCTCTATTCGATAAAAACGGTCAAACAGTGGCAACCGGGAACGGCATTTCCGCTGCGTCCATCTCGGGCAAAGGGGAAACGCCGTGGCGGTGTGGATACACTCGCGTGATCCTGTTTCCTGTACAAGCTTTTTCGAAGCGCTGTCGGTATTAAGCCGAGGGAATTCAAGGTCCGACCGGCCATGAGATCGCCGTGGAGAATTTGCTATTACATTTTTACTGTGCGTGAAAAAAAGGAAGCGGTCAGAAAAGAGCCGGCTATTGAAAGCTGCGGAAAGTTCCGAGTGTCCGTCGTAATCGGCGGTCCGTGTCTTACGTTCATGAAGGCAAACGACGCGTCAGGACTTCGCTTCGCACGATTGCGAAACGTCATCTATTCGGCTGTGGAGAAAAATTCCCGACGACTCCGAGGGCGGATGACTGTACCTAGTATCGAACGCGATGACGTGGCACTATCATCGTATCTTCTCAAATACAGCCGGAATACGGTCGACGTGAGCGCTCGTCGAGACTGTGCATTGTCGAGGCCGGGCATCGATTTCTCACGTAATATCGCGTGATGACCTATTTATTTGAGGAAGTCGAGGAATAAATATCATGACATTTGATTTCGAGAATGGAACTCGAAGAATGGAAGCATATAAGAACGTACCGGGAATATTGTTGCCGGGATATTTACTATCGCGACAAACATCGTTTATTTCAGCTACGCGATATCTTATTCCGTTATTTTTAGACTTATTCACGTTCTGTGATTTTTATGTATCTGTTGTGCAAAAGTTGCCAAGAGTAAAGATCGAAGATGATTGAAATTTATTGGCTATGCAATTTTCAAAATGTTTAAAAAAATATTCGACAATATTTCGCTGCTATTTTTACGCGATATTTTTCTTTGAAGCTCTTTTATTATTCAACATTGTTCGCCATTCTGACTTCCGCAGCTCGTATTTTATTTGACTTCTTTATTTGTCCTTTTTATCAGGAGTCATTCTTTCAATGGTGCTTCGGCGCAGAGGAGCCGGGATGTTACGGGGCTCTCGACCTGGGCACTGGCGCCTCAATCCTCTTCGTGCCGAAATTGCCGCCCGAGTACGCGATTTGGGAGGGCAAGCTGCACACCCTGGAAGACTTCAAGGAGCGATACGGCGTGGACGAGGTTCACTACACCGATGAGATCGCGCGCGTGCTAAGAGAAAAGCGAGCGCGTCTCTTGCTCACGCTGGTAAGTCGCGCTTGGGAACAGATGGACGGCTTTCCTACATGCCTTCTCTTCAAGTGCGGAGAAAGTGCTCAACCCAGGGACAATCTGAACCTGAAATGACCATAATTTCACTGCAATTACAATCTGCTCTCTACTTATAGTATAATTGAAAGAAAATTGTTTCTCATTTCTGTCGCTAATTAAAAAAATTCTAAACCGTAAAATAGAAACAAATTGAAGTGTTAAAAGAGTCCCCAGGTTGAGCACCTTCTTCTACATGTGTGTGTCTCGCAATAAGCGATCCGCCAGGCATTCTCGTGACGTTTACCTTCGCCTCCTTCGCGACTGTCTGCCTCTACAATGTGTCGAGAAAGTTACGTCGGTCGACTGGTTGCGAGTCGCTTACATTAAAAGACAGCGACGGCTCCAGACGCTCTCCTTTGCCAAACATTGCGAACGGATGCAAATGCGCCCGCGTATGAGTGCGTGCGAACTTTTGCCGCATTGTCGTCTCCAATTAGAGCCTCGTCGAGCGTGTTTCATTTGCACGATGCGACATTTGTCGCGCGGCTTGGCGAATGTTTGTCGAGCGAGGGCATCGTCTGACGTTGCCTTCGCTGAATGACTTACCAATCCTGTTCTGTATGGCGTGCTAAATGGATGTCGCAAAAATCCTGCGTGTAATACCCCCGTGGAAATATCGCGCGCGCGTTTAAACATCGCTCTGTTGCTACGCGGGTTGGAATTATGCTGAGATTTCAGAGAATCCCGGAACGTCTTGTTTACATTGGCTCTAGACAACGCGCTTGTTTATGCAATAATCGGTGCATGTATACATCGCATTTTTATTCGCATGTATATTTTATCATTCTTTGAAAAATAGAACAGGATATTGAAGAAATCAAAAACTAAACAGCACTTTTATTGCCTTGCTTAAGTTCTCATTTATTTTCTGTTTTTTTTTTTAGAGCTTGCTTTCATATCTTTCCTGTCTGAAATTTGATTTCGGTCAGTCTGTCCATAATTCAATTTTTAAAATCCGCTTTTAGAAAATAGTGATGCAACGCGGCCACACTGTTTATAAAAAAGCTTAAATATCAGGTAGGTCAGGTATGATACTTTTATTCGAAGCTCGACGACACGCTACGCGATAAGGCATGAGAATATAGAATATTTGCTCCATCTGCGACCCCGTAGCAAAAGTTCGCGAACTGATAGCAGAAGCAACCGGATTCGTAGCGATTTACACAGCTCGCTGCCGCGCTCTGACACAGATATCGCGTTTATAGCTTGCGCGCGTTGAAAAACGGCCGATGAATTTTTCAATCGGTCGTTATCTAACGAGCAACAATTTGTTCTGTGGCGCGCGTTGCATCAGTGACGACGTAACTGGGTGACCGCGGTATTAGGAGCGACCCGAACTGTACGAATATATTACGTGAATGCTTATCTGATAACGCGCGCCACTGCAAATAGATTTCGCGTCATTGGCGCACGAAGTCTGAAAGACACACGACCGACCTCATATCGATTATAACTGGTGGTGCAGAAAGCACTTTCAGTAAATGGATACAGGTACCTGGAACAGAATGTAAATTCTTTTTCTATGCCATTTATTATCCATTTCTGAATGAACTTATTTCCAGAACTGTCAGAAATGGTCTTTAAATGGCTTCCAAACGGCTCCAAACGGCTTCCAAACGGCTTTTCTTTCTTGTAGGATAAGCTTGTCTTTTTTTAGAAATACATTTATAACAATTCAGTCATTGGTATGTTCTCCACAATTTTATCTTTATCTTCTATATCTTGAGCTTTAAGAAGTATTGTTATTTTTATAGAAAAAGAGATAATATACTTTAATACTTTAATACTACAAGGAGACTTTGGGACAATAGAACGTTCGAATAGTAGATTATTCACAAGTAGTAAAACATTCAGATAATGAAGATACGAATAATATATATAAATATATGTTATACAATGAAAATAAGAAGCTTTTTATATGTTCATAACTCTTCTATTTAAAAATATAACTTTACAAATTTTTTTTATTTTTTAAATTAAGGTAAATATATTTGTGAAAATACTTTTTAGATTTAGATACATTTGGGTGTATAAAAATATACATTAAACATAGAATCTTGCTGTATATAGTGTTTTCAAAATAATCCTAGAGGTTACATAAGTCTGTGAGATAAAAGTGTGATATGACAGTTCAGAGCAGCTATCGCTATCGACGATAAACGACATTATCTTGAAAATTACAAAATTTACAAGAAACGTATGACCTGTATATCAAAGTACGTATATCAGTTGTACGTTTGTAGGAATTTTTATGCTTACCGTTGTCATACGAGCGATGCTTTGCAACTTTGTGACGCAGTCGTAAAGATATTCGACGAATTCGCGGAACTAGTTTCACTAATACCAGTCACGCGGGAACACGCAATTTAGAGTAATTTGGGGCAATTTAAAATGTTTCGATTCTCGTAGCACATCGGACGATTCCAGGAGATGCTCGCATGATGTACATGAAAACAGGAAACTCTTAAAAGCGACAGAGATATTTTCTAAGAATTTTACACCGTGCGATTATTGGGTTGCATTCGTTGCGTTGCACATTGCGGCGTGTTGCATATGTTTTTCGTCTTATCGAGCAAATTGACAGACCATGTTCAAACTGTCAGCGCTTGTTGAGCGTAGCCAGGTCGATCAAAGATATAAGTTTGCAATAGTAAAAGAATTGAAAGGTAATTTATTAAAGTTTCTTTCCATATCGAAAATCGATTTTTCAATTTTAGATGCATTTTTACAAACGAATAAAACAGCGAATGTGACGGATAAATTTTTCAAACCTTTACAAAATAACGATGATTTGTTGCGTCCAACAATGCCGACATTACACGATATAAAAGATTCAATATTGAGAATAAAATTTCGCTTTGCGAAGCTATGGTCGACGTGAAGACGAAGTCAAGGCGTGTTTTGTTATTTTTTTTATTTGCCAAGATCCGTCTTTAGGCTGGTTTGTACATTAGCACAAAGACGCTGATTAGTTCTAGCAGTGTCACGTAAACTCCGGCCTTGTGTCTTCTCTCTATTTTCAGTGACGTTCAATAAATCGAATCGCCGCAAAACTTGCCGGAAAAATCAATATTTAATGGTTTTCTAGAAAGTGTTATTTTGCTGATACGCGCAGAAAGGCTGACATGAATAAGACATAGAGCAATTGCTTGGTATTCCCGTGAGCAATTGTGATCGTCTTATGCTATTTCGAAATGTATAAGAGAGCAGAATGCCATTCTATTCGTAAGATCGGCAGCATTGCAAAACTTTCTTGCAGAATATTTTAAGATTCGTAAGAATAATATTTCAAAATTTTTTAACGTCGTTTTTTAGCGTTTTTGTGCTTTAAATTTATGATTGCATGTATAAATAATTATAATAAGTTAAGATTTTTGAATTTTTTTATACTTCTCATTTATATTTTAATCTTGTTGAAGATATATTATTTTTAAATTAATTTTTTCATTATTTACATAAAAATCTCGATTTAATTAATTTATTTAATTGCGTGTAAGAGCTGGGAACCAGTTTGTTTTGTTAAATATTAACCTTTATGCAACGTCTCATACAATATCGAGATTTTTTTTATATTTATTTCAGAGAAACATCTTTATGATGTTCGATGTTTGGTCTAGGTTATTTTTAAAGATTAACGTAATGGTTGTACAATGGGCAATGTGAAATCAAATGTTTCTAGTTGCGGTACGATTAAGTTATCTCGTGATTAACGTTTCCGTCCTCACAAATTTTACATTAACATGTGACGCAATGTATGATTTCACTTCATATATAATGAGATGAGAATGCACGATAACTGATTACTGTTAAATTGCGAGGACGTCGAATTACCGTTATTATGGAATTAATGTGAAATTACCTCGCGCTTTAATCCTTAATTATTACCACAGAATATTGTTTGTAAACAATGCTTTTCAAGCCGATTACTACTCAACAATGCGATATTCACGCATGACAAAGCTAATTTAATGGTTGATAAACACCGTTAGAAACAAAATGATTCATGCCGCTCGGAATATGTTAACAAATCCGCGTATATATTTGCATGATGCATATATGCGTCATGCAAGATCGCAACTGAAAATATTGTTTCAGAAAACAAAGTGCTGAATTGTGCTTCAATCGACAATTTTTAATTATCGATGATTTAATTTTAAACAAATAATTTTATAAGATATTTTTGTTGTTAATTGAATATTGATACTTTTAGTGCACTGTGTACATACGATTGAATTATTATTAATTGCTTACTTGCACACGTTTAAAGTTTGATTGCTAAATTTTTTTTATCTAAAATACCACCGTTATGTGCCGATGCAACGACAGCCGCTTGGTCGATATTGATTGGGAATGCACGATTACTGATAGACAGGCTACGTCATATTTGCATGGCAAATGAGACGAGTTTGGAAACTGTAGGGTCACAGGACATTACATCACGATCCCAATCGGGCGCAAGATTAATGGCGAGGTTCAAGCTCGGCAGAAAATAGGCATGGACATGATCGACGACGAGCGAATCGCAATGCAACCTTTCATGCTTAGCAACTGTGTTTGTCGCACACGTACGCAAGGCATTGAAATACTCACATAAGGACACAGTTACACGTGCCGCAGAATAAAACGTCTAATTATAGAGAGGGATAGAGGTTCTCGCGTCTGACCTTTATAAAATAAATTATGCAATAAATATCACGCGCGACGTATTAATATTAATATTGATTTCGTGAAAGTTTAGCCAGCGCTATTTTAAATAAGCATAAATAAATTTTAATTATTCGTAAACAAGTGCAATAACACTTTTTTTATTTTTATTTCCAACTTTATTCGAATTGCAAATTGTCGCAGTATCGCGATCATGTAATGACGTGTATATTCTCTAACCGGTGTGGAATATAGTTCGCCGCTATATCAGTTTTATTTTCTAACATCCTCAGTATTGACAGTCACTTGTCTTTTATAGACGAGTTATGTAGCTGTTCCGTCCACAACTCTAATTATGATTACATTGCAGCCGCATATTGCTGCCGCATATTTTTATGCGACACGTTGCACGGTCTTTTGCAATATCCGACGCAACAAATGCCGACGCTGGCGCATTCGCCGCCCTTACTTGCCATTTAGCCGATAAAACCGTTTTATCTATTACTCAGCGAAAAACGATTAATGCTCTCTAATATCGCAAGCGTAGGCAAAAACAACGGAACGTTATTATGCAGGTGCGCGGTGTAATGACATATTTCGCGTGAAAATAAACTTTACAGTTGTTTGCGCAAGAAATTATTAAAAAAATATACCGTGACGTGTTCGTGAATATTATAAATCATTCCGCATAAATTCACATAAAAAGATCATGTTTTATTTATTGTAGAAAAATATAAAATACATTATTATAATAAATACTAATTTGAAATTTAAATATTAGTCATTCGTTGTTGAGGCACAATTTTATGTGCCACTTAATCACTTAATTATTGCACGATGCATAAAGAATTTATACTCGCGTTATTGTCCACTGAAATATGTGTATGTTATCATGAATGTATCTTATGCGGATGTATTATAGAAATCGATGGCACAGAAAAACGTTTGTTTCGCTTCCGACCGGATAAAAGAATGCTTTCTCTATTCTGACTTGAATTGAAATTATGTAAGGCTTACTTTTACTTCGACCCACGATACGACTTTTCACATCGAGTGTATAAGGTCTCTCAAACTGCAGAATCAATTGCGAGTAAGTAATTCTTGTTTTTCTTTTGCATTTTGCAGAGCGGCAGGAACAGCGATAGCAAATTGGTAACGCGCGAAACGGTTTTTGACGATATCGACAAGTAAGTATGACAATGAATCACATTAGAAACACGTCACTGTTGACGATGATCTAATTCTGAGTTTCTCGTCATAGATTCCAAGTGGATAATAGTATTCTGTACCCGGAAATATGTGAATGGTAAGCATATAAATTTTTATCTTGTGTTAATAATAAATTTTATAATTTTATTTCGAGAGAGAAGAATAAAGCAAAAGATAAATTTGATTCCGATTAAATAATTAAATACGGATTTTAAATAATACGAGAGATATTAAAATGTAAGATAATTAATTTAATTAATTTAATTAAAATTGATATAATTAAAATGAGACACGATGTATTTGTGAGCTCAGTTTTTTGTTATTTATCAAGCGTCGACTGCTTGAAAGAATCAGTGTCGCCATCGACTGGTCGACTTGTGCAATCGCTGCGTTTCCACATCGGTATACTTCTGACAATTTTCTCTGTTGGGTTATAATACCAATTATTTCAATACGTTTGGCGCACATTCAAAATAATTAAAAATAAAATGGCCCTTTCTGTGATATTGCAGTCATAAATATGAAGATTATCTTTGAATTTTTTTTAAAGAGATCTCATTGAATATGTGATACAATATAAAAAAGGTAAATAAAGGAAAATTTATTACAGCATATATCATATTTTTATTACATTTACGATTAATATTGTAGATGATAATCTCAAGGCATATATTCGTGGGAAAATTTTCTGCGAGAATATTAGCGCAGCCATGTAGTCTGATGTTCAAATTTCGAAAGAGATTATTTCAATCAAGCATACATGATCATGCTGAAACACAGCTGACTCAAACAAACATCCTTGTGCAAGAAGGTTCACACATTCAAGAAGTTCCCTTAGTGGTTAGAAGAATTACCGACGTTGAAGTTCTCTTTGATAAGAGAAGCAAAAAGGCTGTTGAATCGACGGTGTCGAATAAAAATAAAAAGTCTGCAGTAATCCATCAAGAAAATATTCCTCATTCCACAAGCGTGAAAAAAAACGGCTCCTCAAAGCACAGTATTAGCATAGAGACTGATGAAGGTACGGCGATACTCTTCTTCTCGGATATTAGACGTCTGAAAAATACAGACGTGGAACAGGTTTTAGACGCGATAAATTCGGAGGGTAAAGATAAAGGTATTTATTCCTTGCTGGAGAGCAGAATGGCCGACGAGATAAACTGCCGGATAGCGCTTAAGAGCTTGAGAAAAATGATAGAATTGGAGAACGGGTGGTACAAGTATCGGCGAACCTTGTCGAGTAATCAGCCATCTGCAGAAGCCATCAACAGGGACATTATTTTGCGACAACTTGTAAATCTAATTATCAAGAGTCGCGACAACGAGATGATATTGCAAGGACTGAAAGCGTTGAAGAGAGACAGATACAGTCCTTCGAAGAACTTTTACAAGGATCGGATGTGCAATGAAGTTATGATCAGAGCTACGGACGGAAACTTCACGATATCGCAATTAATTCGAGCGGTGAAGATCTTGGCTTCTTACAAAGACCCCAAGTACAGAAACTGCATTGACACATTGTGGGCAGGTTTGGCGTATAAAAAGCAGGACATCAAGCCGAATTTATTAGTACCGTTATTTAGATCGTTGATATATTTTAATCGAAGTAAAATTATGGTGCAGATTATTTTGGAGGAGAAACTTTCGGAGCAATGGCTGAAGCTGACTGGGTCGCAGATGGCTCATATATTAGACTGTCTTTATGGCAGGGAGTCTTCGAAAGGGTGTCTGTCAAGCGCCAGTAAATGGGCAAACGTGAGCATGACTACTTCAACCGAGACAGATCTAATCAATTTCATCAGCAGTTTACACATGAAAAAGTACATCGACGAAAATGTGGAGCAAGCACTGGCGAGATACATGACAGCTAAAAGCGCCGAGATCAAACATCCCAATTTAATCGCCACTATCATGGATTACTGCAAGGATTTAAAAATTCGAAATCCATACATTCTTGCCGAATGCGGAAAATATTTTATGAAACGCGGCATGGAAATTCCGCCTTCTCTATTATCTCTCATTCTTATACCGTTCGGATTGTTGAACGTACGGCCGCCGGATGCGGCCGAGTTTTGGAAAATCTTTGACGAGGTGATAAATGCGAGATTCTCAGATTTGAAGTTAAATGACATTTTGGACATTCTTCTCTCTTGCACGTATCTCGAAAGATATCCCATAAAATTCTTGGATAAAGTCTTCAACACGTATATCGTGAACAGACTGCAGTCTCAAAAAGACGCTCCTCTCGTCAATAGCTTAAAAACCAAGTTAAAATTATTCGACGCGACGATGTCGTTAGAGTGTAAGGATTATCAAGGTAGCCCGGTTAATTTAGACTGCAGTACAAAGTCGTTAAGCTTGGACACGAGAATTAGAGGCATTGTTAATAAAATACACAAACCATTGGCGCATTTGGTCGGCGGAGAACATAAACTGAGCAGAAGCGTGGTACTAAATAGACTGCCGCTCATAAATTTCTACATTTTGGATATTTTGGTACATCCACTTTTAAAATCGACGTCAGTTTTTAACTTAAACTTGCATAAAAAAAGAAACGTCAATACTGCAATTTTAATTCAATTGCCCGAGTATTATTGCTGGAACACGCGGCTTTTAATAGGACCGCAGATAATGAGGAAGAGGCAAATTAGAAAATTAGGGTTTCGGGTTACATGTTTAGATTACACGAAATTAACGGAAGTGGCAGACCAAGATGATAAAATGTTATCTTACTTGTCGCAAAGTTTAGACGCTGCTGAAAATGCTTTGTGAATCGTTTCGCGCGTGCGACACACATACTTATATAAGCGTGCAATTTATAAAATAAAATTATAAATAAATAAATTTGTAAAGTTATAAATGTAAATCTTTTATCTTGATAAAAGGAAATTAAGAAGAACGCGAAGCATTGTATTCTAAATAAACGTCTTTGAATAAAAAATTGCATGTTTGTTTTTAGAATATATATATATATAAATTATTCTTCTTGTTTTGTGCAGCCGGGTGATAAAATCTTCCCGGGAAATTGAGGTATTGCGGTACGTGTGCAAGATAAGTTCGGAAGCGCACAAGGCCGTAATGCGTTTTCTGCGTCCTGGGATGTCAGAGTACAACGCAGAGGCTTGCTTCCTGCATTACGTGTACGACAAGGGAGGATGCCGACACGCGTCTTACACGTGCATCTGCGGCTCCGGACACAATTCCTCCATACTGCACTACGGTCACGCCGGTGCGCCAAATAATAAGGTCATACAAGACGGAGACATGTGGTAAGATTTCCGCTAGAAATAATTTTCCGCGTCGCATCGCTCGCTCGTCGCGCTCGTACACTGTTAAAATATTCATTACAAATCCGTTGCGTGTTGCACGTTGCATAACACATCCTCTCTGCCGTGCAGCCTGTTCGACATGGGCGGCAACTATTGCGGATACGCGGCCGACATCACGTGCAGTTTTCCGGCCAACGGGAAATTCACCGAAGACCAGAAGCTGATTTACAATGCGGTGCTGAAGGCGCGTGACGCGGTGATCGCGGCGGCGAGGCCGGGCGTCGTCTGGACGGACATGCATCTTCTAGCGAACAGAGTCATGCTGACGGCGCTGAAGGAGGGCGGATTGTTGGTGGGCGACGTCGAGGACATGATAAAAGTGGGTTTGAACGAGGTATTTCAGCCTCACGGACTAGGCCACTTGCTGGGATTGGACGTGCACGACGTTGGTGGTTATCTACCGGGTCACCCTGAACGCTCGACGCAAGCGGGTGTGAGAAAGCTGAGAACCGCTCGAACGCTGCTCGCCGGAATGTGTCTCACGATAGAACCGGGCTGTTACTTCATAGACTGCGTAAGTGTCGAAATAATCAACGAATGATTCTTTCAAATACTTTAACGCTAGTTTAATTTTTAATTAATTTATTAATTTGTTGCAGTTACTGGACGCAGCACTGGCCAATCCCGAGCAGTCGAAGTTTCTCGTGCCGGAACAACTGCAAAGATTCCGCGGTTTCGGTGGCGTCAGAATTGAAGATGATGTCCTCATAACAGAGATCGGGGTGGAAAATATGACATATGTTCCTCGAACGTAAGCGTTCGTTCCGCGTATATTATTTATTGTACATATTGTTTGGAGAAAATAATTTTACGTGTATATATTTTAGGGTCGAAGAAATAGAAACATTTATGCAGAATTGAGTCGATGAGGACTCTGAAGATTCGAGAGATTAAAAAGTGTTCCTGAAAAATAAAGTTATGCTTATGATTAAGGAGTAACAAAGTTACAGTGGTGAGAACAATACATGATATATTCATATCATTTTTTATAAGGTAAAAAAGTATATATATTTTTCTATATTCTGATTAGCGTTTATATATAAATGTAATAAATAAAGCAACAACTTGAAACGCCATAAGGTAACACCAGCAACGTGACGTCATGTTGTATTCTTAAATCGATGGCTGCGATTGTAACAAGATTTTTTTAACCGATGCTTCTTATAAAAGTTTTGCGTTAATGACCTAGACAATAATTTATCTAGATTGAAGATGGATTCCAGATCGTCGTAATCCATTTTTCATCAGCGAATATCTATTTTAGAGCAACCTTGGTGATTTATGACGACGGAATTGAAAATAAGTTTAATTTCAATCGTGTCAACGTCACGATTCGGCGGATTAGAGTTTAACTGGCAACACGTGGGACGTTTTTATCGTTCTTGGCTTTTATGCGGGTGGAAGGTAGCGTTCGTGCGATTATAGCGTCGCGCGTATCGCACGTAGGAACGAAATCTAAGCGCGACTATTATCATGCGTGCGCTCGTCGGTGCCTTACAGTTGCGTGATCGACGTGTACGCGCGCGGTAGTGCGATCGGCATTCGAAACGTCAACCAGTAGCGCTCGCGTGTTACAACATGCGTCTTGAATTTCGCAAGAGAGTAGTATTAATATCAAACGGTTAATGCCAACAAATCTAAATCTGCAGAAAAATTCCAGAGCCCTGAGGCAAAATTGTCGTCTTCGGTTTCGCGCGCGGAAAGATAGACTGCGTCTCGGACAAACGGTTGTCGATAATAACCATTTGATACTGATAAGAAAGCGTTGACGTCAAAATGCGTTATCGCCGTTCACGGTGGCTCGGTGAAAAGGTTGTAGAAAGCAAAGGAGAAAGCGGGACGCAGCGTCAAGTCGCGCTGTTTTTGCGAACACGGGTGTAAAAATAAGACACCGCCGAGGCGCGGGCATCATACCGCACATTGTATCACGTGGATCCTAAAATACGCTATCAGCTGATGCGATGAGGAATCTGAGATCGCTCTCATCACCGAGTTCCTGCAATTTCGCGCATGCAACTGCGTCGCACGATTCTATTGATCCGTGAGCCACCGGGACGAGCTTCCGTTGAGAAATTCGGCTCACGACAGATCTCGAGGAGGATCGTAATCGATTACGATCTTCCGGTCGCCGTCGGTCTGCGCTTTGATACGGATCGCGGCGCGCTCGCGCTCGCGGTTTATAAATACCCCGTGTCACGGAATATGGAGCGCGGTCTACAGCGTTTGACGTAATTCCGACACGCCGCCAAGCAGGTGCGCTTGCCGGGAGGCAGAAAAAAAGTCGGTGCACGCGGATAAACTCATTTACGATGTTGCGGTGTCAACAGTGCGCGCCGCGACGCGCGTTTCAGCTGTGCGATCGAAGTGGAAGCGCGCAGACGCGTTCACCAGCTCGCGAACGTTAAATATATACATATACATATTTTTTTTTGTCCAAGTCTTTTTGCTTTATTTGACTTTTGCGAAGCGTCCGCCGCAGATACTTCTCGGAAAGCTCGGCGTAGCGATGATATTGATGACGGTCCGCGAGATTTCTTGAGTAAATCAGAAGCTTACATGGTGGAGAGGATCTTGAGAGGATCAGAGGAAATCAGATTCGAATCGGAGAGCTTACTCGGGATACTTGCGGAATAGTATTTGCTTAGAGTCTCAGAAAGATTATCATGAAGAAGAAGGTTTCTCCTATTATTACTCAATACGCGTAATATTCTCCGCGATTCGATTCGACCGCGCAAAATAAAGAAAATTCTTTAGCATTCTGAGTAAATGAAAGGATCTGACACTTGAAAAAATCCCGGAGAACGACTCGTAGACGTCTTTACGACGTCTCTCCGGCGCGGGTTTGATCAGCTTGAACTCATTACATTAGCCGAATCATTGGAGCATCGGAGCATTGTAAATCCTCCGCGAATCAACTCGTGGCTTGGCGCATCCGGCGTGCTCATTCGCGACAAAGACGGATAAAAAGGAGACATTCGACGAGAGAAGAGGAGGAACGCGATGGGCAACGCAGGCGTGAAAGTCGACGGCTTCTTCAACACGCATGCCTGACACCCGCTGACGCCGCCGTGTTCGGCGTTGCCGTCGTCGTCGTCGTCAGCGTCGCGCCTTCGTATCGACGAGTCGTGCGAGTTGCTCGCTCGCGAGAGCCAGCCAGTCAGTGGCCCACGACTACCGGAAACGAGCTCCCCCCGCGTCCCGACGACGAGGATGCGCAGGGGTGGTGGCGGACAACGACGTGGTGGGACATCAGCAGCGGCGAAACCGGAGGCGCGGTCGAGACGCGTCGGATCACCTCGCTGGCGTCACTCGCGAGGGCAGAGGTCTGCGTGACCCGATCCACCACGTGTCACACACATACGTATACATACGTTCTCTCTCTTTCCCTCCGACGTCGCCACCCGACGTCGTCGTGCTTGGCGACGCGCCCGTTGCGTTGCGTGGCGACCACCTGCTCTGACGGTGCTCGACGTCGCGCGAACGTCGCGACGGTGTCTGGGAATAATTAAAGCTGTGACGGAAGAAAGAAAAATTGCAGCGGGGCGAAAACCGAATTACTCGCGGCGAGGAAGCGCGAGATCGAGTAATCGGCACCGAAGGGTCTCAACGGTGCCTTCTGGAAGAAGAGCGGTTGGAAGTCGTGCTTCTACGACACGCGAGCGTGAATACATCGATATTTATTAAATCGCCGAGGAAGCTCGGAAAAAGTCTCGCGAGGAAAACTCGACGGAGCGCAGGCGACGCTGTTCGATCGCGTCTGAAAGAAGTGTACGCGGAAATTTCGCTGTGAGGGAAGAGCGTCGGAGTCGCCTTCGCCGCGATTCTCATTTGGCTCGTTGTTGTCCCGCGATAACGAAAGAGAAAAGAAACACGCGCGGTTGCGGCGTGTTGAGAACGGCGCGTGCAACGGGAGAATATCGCGCGGCGCGTTTCCGCGATCACGCGCGGGGCGAGCGGACGTGATTTATTTCGGCACCACGCGGCAATTTCGGAGAGGGGCCGCAGGAGAGCGAGAGAGGAAGCGGCGCGCTCGCTTGCAAAGGGGGAGGGGATGGACGGCACTCGCGCCGCGAGAAAAAGAGAGGCCGCGGGATAGAACGAGAGTAAAGCGCGACGCTTGCGTCAGTGGTGCACGCCGCGAGGAAACGGCCGCGTTGCGAGTTGCGGGTCGCTCTGAATCCGCGACCGCGCATTAAAACCCGAGAGGACAGCGTCGCGCAGAATAAAGACGAAGACTCGCGGAAATTGCGGATGGAATTCCACCGCGGACAGAGGTGCGTGCGCGGATAGGTGTGTTCGCGCGTGTATATGTGTAATGTATACGTGTGCTCTAACGGGACGGAGTAAAAGTACGCGCTCTGATTTCGAAGGCGCGCACTCCGAGCGAACGTAGGAGAGTCGGCTGGAAATTGTACTCTGGGGACTGGTTAGGTTGTTAAAGCCGATTGTGATGCCGCTGCTTTCGTTTTCGACGCGGCGGCACGTCGTTTAGAGATCCGCGAGACAAGCTTCGAGGAGGAGTTGTTCCGAATTTCATTCATCTTGTGGTAAAATAGAATAATACTCCGCGATATCGTTGCAAAATTCAACTTGGAACTATTGTTTCCGATTTCTGCTATAAAAATTAATCGACTTTTCGAGATTTGATTTGTGATATCGTTTGTGACATTCGAGCACTAGAAATTCATAAAGTAAACAAGGGATTCTACGGAACTTGCAGTTTCATTCATGATGCACAAGGAATGAAATTAAATAATGAAGATTGAAGGCGAGATGGTTGAATAAAGCAAGATTCGATGAAATTCGAATTGCCGCACGTTCGCGAAATTACCGAAGAGGATTTGCGGCGGCGGCGGCGGCGGCGGCGGCGGCAGATTTCGCAGGAGGATTCACCAAGGAGACGGGCGGCGAATTTACTCTACAATACATACAGTGGAATAATCCACGCGGCGCAGCTGTAAAGACGAAGAAATTGGCGGCGATAAGCGTCGCTGGGTACTATCTAATCGCGGAATCGCTCGCCCGCGTCGTGTACACAGCGCGCGATCGCGTTTTAATCGGCGTCGCGCGGCTTAGCGCGCCGTAATCTGTCGACGTCGTGCGAAAGGCGTGTTACTGTGTGACTTGATCGAGCGAAATCTTATGCAAGCTTTCCCCGACCTTCTCTATTGGATCGAGCGACGATATAACGATGATGTAACGTCGTGCTTCCATATCGCGCGAAGCGGAGGATCGGAAACAAATTGGCAATTGTACGAACGACGATTCCGCATAGACTGCAATTGTTACGAGTTTACCTCAGCGACGCACAATCAGCAACGGGAAGAAGGAGAGCGAAGCAATCCGGAGACTGTATCACCGCGTCATCCCGACACACCGTATATACAGAAATTATTCGGAGCGATCGGTGAGGAAGGAGGGAACTTCTGGAAGCTTGCCGATTCATACAAGTGGATCGAGCGGAGTCCCGAAGTCAACGGGAGATCGGGTGTCTTTAGATTTGAGATTCCGCCGAGTCGATATTATCCGGTGTGCGCGGCGAGAAAACGACAGTCGCGAGTAAACGTCCGCGACGGGCGTGCGATAATTCCGCGCGAACTCGCGACTAGTCATCGATCGACCAGCGGACGCCGCGCGCCGCGACGCCCTCTTTTCCCCGCCGCGTCGTCCCCACCTGTCTCTGTCGTCTCCTCCGGTCGTGTGTGTCAGACATTTACGTATCACGTCGGAAACACGCCTGGCGCGCTCTCTCTTCGTCCCTTTCTTACTCTCACACATTTCCCACTCTTTATCTCTGCGTCTCTCTGTCACTCTCTCTCTCTTTCTCGCGCACTCTCTCTCTCTCTCTCTCTCTCTCTCTTCTTCTCGCCTCTCTCTCTCTCTCTCTCTCTCTCTCTCTCTCTCTCTCTCTCTTTCTGTCTCGATCATCCACCTCCTCTGTGGATCCTATTTCTTCTTCGGCATACAAGTCGCGTTTGCGACGTCGTAGTCCGCGTATCGTCCTGTTGTCAAACGCCAGGCGAAGGGGTCGTTTATCCTTCGCCTATCGCAAGGTGGCATTGACATCGGCTCCGATGTCGCAAGTCGTCAAAGATGCGTCGCGGCGTGTTCCGGCGTGTGCGCAAAAAATAACGAGTGACTGAGTTCGCTTGCGTGAGAAAGAAGAAAGACAACGCGGTGCTCCGAAAAACCCCCCTATGTTCGTCGAACGTTTCGTGTTTCCGTCGATCGATTCGTCCCTCTTTCATCGCGATGGTAATCGGTGAACGGCCTTGAGTGATCCTGTCGAGAGCAATCGCGGTGGACGATAACCCCCGGAGAACAAAGGACGCACGTACGCGAGGGGGTGAGTTCGGGGAGAGAGAGAGAGAGAGCTTCTTCATCCATACACGCGGGGGATTAGCCCCGAGCCGATCGGGGAAATACACCGACGACGGGGAACAAAGAGCCGCCGCGGCAGACACGGGGGAGGATTATCAATCTGCGAGGGTGCAAATCCCTCTATTCGCGCGCGTGCCGGATGTCGATACGACGAACCGCGAGCACAGGGTACGAAAACCACGGGACGACGATACATATCTCAATAGCGCGTAGTCGTTCGTTCGCGACGCATCTCCCACGCTGTCGTTCGGAAGCGCGGCCGAGTCCGAGTTCTAGAAGCTTCCGCAAAACGTAAATAGAGAAATAAATCTGAAGAAGAGACGCACGATGTTCTGCTTCCAAAGTCCCTTCACACGCTCGTCGCGCAACGTCGTGTCCGCCAGCTCGTTGTCGACGAGCAAGAGCAAGTCGTCGTCGTTGACCAGCGCGATTCTGTCGTCCGCGAAAACGTCTGAGGCGGAGGATCGCAAGATGTCCAACGCGACCGAGTGCAACCGACGGGGCTCCGAGGCGACCAGCGAGGGCTCCAACTCGTCCATCCGTTACATCGACCAGGAGGCCTCGATGTCCAGCAGCACGGACACGCTTCCAGGTATTCGCACCGATTATTTAGACGTGGAGCCGCTATCGCCGAGCGTGGACGCTCTGACTTCGCCGAGCGGCGTAACGGTCGTTCTGAACGGCACCGGCGGCTCGAACGAGCAGCAGCGAATCTCGCCGCACGATAAGTATCATCAGACGACCTTGCAGTCACCGAAGAAGTCCAGCAACGGCATCGGTAGCAGCTGGCGCCGAAAATTCATGCTGCGTCTCCGCTCCAGCGATTCATCGAGCTTGAACAACGGCGAGACGTGCTCTTCCTCGACGTCGCCGTCGCCCGCGAGCGAGTCAACGCCCGGATCGTCGTTTTCCTCGAAGAATCTCCATATCGACGAGAGAAGACAAGGCACCGTCGTCTCGTCGCCGCCGGTGCAGATCGATGTAAGCGGCGACGGAAGTCCACAGACGACCGTCGCCGCGTCCGTCGGCGATATACCGTCTCTGGCGAATGGCTTCAGCGAGCTTGAAGAGGAGGAGAACGACGACGACGACGACGACGACGAAGAGGAGGCTTGCAACCCTGAAACCGAGACGGAGGAAAATTCATCCTTGCCGTCCAGCCCCGCGGCTGCGTCCACCGTCGCCCTGGCATCTTCAACGGCGCCCTATTACGACTTCCTGTCGGTGAACTGCGGTGCGATGCGCCAAGAAACTACCAGCACTAGCTCGCCGCAATTGTCGTCCGGCACGAGTCTGCGTTCGTGCAGCGCGGATTCGCCGCCCGCCGACACTTGCAGCTCTTACGGCGAGCACAGCAGTCCGGGCGTGGACTCGCTCAAGCCCGAGGCGCTCCTCGACGCGGCGAGTTGTCTTCCGGCCGCGAGATCATGCCCGAATCTGGAGCGGCAGAGCGCCGGCTGCTCCTCGGCCAGCGGATCGTCGAGCCCGAGCCCGAGTCCGGGCCCCGCCGGGCCCCGTTTCAAGCCGCTCGAGGAGGGCGATATACAGGTGTGCTATCTAAATCACACGCACACCCTCGTGAAGAAGATCCTGTCGAGCAAGTTCTTGAGACGTTGGGAGACGCACCATCTCTACCTCAACGACGCCTGCCTGTCCTCCAAGACGGTGAGTGTGCACGATAGTCTGCTGACGTAAACGCGCCGCTTTATCGCACGCGCTCTTTGTGCGCGCTCAGCTGGGATTCCAGCGAGCGTCGCGTATGACGTCTTAAAACTTGAAGTTTCAAACCTCATGAGAGACAAACATGTTTTTCATTATAAAAGAATTATACCTTATTTTTTGCCGAACGAATCTATTAATTTTATCGGCGAATTAAACTGACGAAAAATCTTATGTAATTAATCGCCCGTTTAAAATTAGAATGCAAATGATGATCGGCGAGTATTTTGAATGAGAATATTTTTATGCACGGGTCATGATCTGCTTTTTTGTCCGGGCAAAGTACAGTCTAATGATTAATAGCCTTATTTCGCGATTTATTAACGCCAGAATACTCTGTAGTTTTGTTCGAGATCTCTATTCTCGGCACAAGTCGCTTCCAAGCTCGTTACGTTACCGCGCGTAGGCGTAGTATAGCGAGTCCTCCGTCTGTGCATTGTATCATTATCCCGATTACGGGTTACTATGGTAATCTGCAGACGTTAATGTGATTGCAACTACTCGAGAGGAAATCCTGCCGTCGAACTTTGTCTCTCAATCGGATTATCGTATTTGCCATCGACAAATTGATTTAAGATAAAGAGCGACGTAATTGGAAAACTACGCGAGAGATAAGTGCGAGGAATTCGAGTTGTCTCTCAATTACGCAAAAACTCGCAGCAACCACGAACTTGATAGGACCAAGGACGGGCACAAGCGGCTCGTAGCTGTTTGTTTTGGAAGTGACAAGCGAGTGTTTGGTGATGGTGAAATTTAGGTAGAACACAATCTCGCGCCCGTCGTGTCGTATCTGCTTCAACATTTCTATGCCATAATTTGATCTACTCGGTCGCTTTTCGCGCAAAGGACTCATTTATCGCAGTTTGTTATGTAAACTCGCAGCGTGAAGTATTCATACTTCATCATCGCGATTCACAGTGGTCTTCTTTGAAAGAAGAATCTCTGTAATTGAAGTGCTGAGCTCGCGAAGATAATTTAACAATGATCGTCTTTCATCTCCTTGCCTCAAGTTGAACGAATTAAGTGCTATTCCCGATATCATATTATATCACAATTTCATTGCCACATCAATTTATTATATTCATAAATATTTGCTAATAGACTTGACTAATCTACGTTGATGTTGTCGATCACCTAAAATCAACTGTCAAATTTAACAATTAAAAATTTTATTTCTTATTAAAAAATTTTATTTCTTAGAAATTGAAATTAATGTTTTTACGAATAAACATTTATGAATTTGCAAATATATAATAAAAATAAATTATAATATATTGCAATTTTTGTGCCGTACAATTTTACTAAATTTATAAAAAGAATGTATGTTGACGTCATCGATTTAAAAGTTATCAAATTTATTAGTTATTTATTTCAAAAATATTAGGCTTTAAAATGATCGAAATAAATGTTTACGAATTTGTAGTTGCGAAAATAATAAATGATATATTATATCACAATCTCTTTGCTATATAAATTTATCATATTTATAAAACTTTGTTGATAAAATCTATGCTGACGTCATTGACTTAAAAACAATCGTAAAATAACGTAAAATTTATCATTTATTTATTAAAATAATTTTTTTTCTTTAAACATCGAAATAAAAATTTATGAATATACGAATGTTTACGAATTTGCAGCTGCAAAGATAATAAATGCTATCACATTACAATCTTTTTGTCATATAATTTTATCATTTATACTGATAGAATCTGTACTTACGTCACAAAAACAACAATCTATTTTATCATTTATTAAAAAAATTCTAATTTTTAGAACGACCGAAGTGAATATTTGTGAATGAACAAATTTTTACAAATTTGCAATCGCAAAAATATTGAAAATTATGTTTTTTTCTCAATTATTAATGTTTCACTCTCGATGCTTGAATTCGGTTTACCACATTTTTTACCGCGGCAATCTCCGATTTCTCGTTATCCGCGGACCAAGAATACGTAGTATGAATAACAACGAAATCCGCGGAGATCGGTCATCTCGAACGGCAATGATTACGCGTCTCTCCCGTTCCCGCGCTCACCCCACCGCTCACGGTCGCATTGTATCGAAATGCAATCTGCATCGTCAGAGCCCGAGATACAGTCCCGTGCGACAATTTATGGTCGCGATATACGGCAAAGTTCACCGGTGGTCGCGGGGGTACAGCCGCGGTCGCAGCTGCACCGATCAGCGATGGATCCCCCTTTTAACCCCCTCCGTTCCTTCTGTACGGGTGACGTTACGAAATTGCGATCGGGTTTTCTGTGCGCGCACGAGAGAGAGAAACGTCGGTCGGGAAAACCGGCTAAATTCGTTTACCCCTTCACCTTTCAGCAGTCACGACATACGATGCCGATGCCTGGTTACGGAACCGCCGCCCCACGGTGTTCTCCGCGAAATGCAATTTATCGTTTCGCTTTACAGGAAAGCGCGCTACGCGGAGTAGCACTTGATGTACTCCGTCAGCGTGATAGATTCTATTTTCGTAGCGAGGCGTTTATACGTAACTCCTTGACAAGAGAGAGAGAGAGAGAGAGAGAGAGAGAGAGAGAGAGAGAGAGAGAGACGAC